GAGGTCAAGGCGAAGCTTTTCAACGATCTTGTGAGCAAGAGCTGAAAGCATAACTGCCTGGTCGTCATGAGGTCTACGCATTATGATTTCTTGCCCATAAACTGCCGGCATAGGGGTTCTTTTTTGGTTTGATTTTGTGACTTTAGATCGGCGTTGGGAATGGACGAAAGCATTACCATTCACTTAGGTAGAGTAATGATGAAAAAGACTCCAGAAACATTTTGGTTTTGGTTGAACTGAGTGATTCTCCAAACAGCGCGAGCTAACAACTGGCTACAATATGCTCTACTAGGTATGGTCTGCAATGTGCTTTCTATATAAACATCTAGGGAAATTTGAATTCTACAGCTTGGGGGTTACTCTTGACGACCCGAGGGCCTTCTTCACCCACGATAGCTTGGCAGCAAGCGACGCCTTGGAAACAGCAGCATCAGGAACCATCATGTCGAAGCAGTGGTACCCTCCCGGCCAGACATGCAGCTCGGTTGGCACGCCGGCCGCGCACAGCTTATGCGCATAGGCCATGTTCTCGTCCCGGAAGATCTCAGCCGCGCCCACGGTGACGTACGCCGGTGGTAGGTTGGACAAGTCGGTCGCCCTGATGACGGCCGCGTACGGGCTGACGCGCTCGTGCCCGGCGTTGGGGCCCAGGAACGCGTCCCAGGCCATCTTGTTCACGGCGCCCGTCCACAGACCCTCGTCCATGTACTGCTGGCAGGAGACGGAGTCGGTCCGGTCGTCGAACATGCCCGAGTCGAGCAGCTGGGCGCACAGCTTGGGACCTCTGCGGTCGCGGGCCAGCAGGGCCATGGCCGCGGCGAGGCTGCCCCCCGCGGACTGCCCGGAGACCAGAAGCCGGTCCGGGTCGATGTTGAGTTCTTGTAGGTGGGAGCCGATCCAGGTCAGGCCGGCGTAGGAGTCCTCCAGCGCCGCGGGAAAAGGGTGCTCTGGTGCCTGCCTGTACTCGGCGGAGATGCATAGGCCGCCGACCGCCTGCGCCCAGCTGAGGGGCTCCCTGAGGCCGGAGAAGCGGGTGCCGCAGATCATGCCGCCCATGTGCAGGTTGTAGATGGCGGGGCGGGGCGCCTTGCTGGAGGAGGAGTCCTTGGGGTGGAAGATGGAGAGGGTGACGGGCCCGTTGGGGCCGGGGACGCTGCGCTCCTCGTGGGTGAAGGGCAGGCCGGCGATGGTGGTCTCGAGGGTGGCTGCGTCGGCTTGGGCTTTGCGGAGGGCTGGGATGATGTCGCGGGACGCGACCAAGGGCGGGAAGGACTTGAGGAGGGGGATGAGCTCCGGGTCGTAGGGGGGTTTGGGGATGTTTTGCGCCATGGTGGGCGGTGTCTTCTTCACGGTGGGAGGGCGCAGGTGTTTCAGCCAGCTACTGGAGAGGAATTGATCGATTCCGAGCTGGATATAGGACTATATACACATGGGATAGAGGGCTGGAGTAGAATCATTTAAGGGGAAGTGTGTGGAGATAATGGTCCTGCTGGCATACATTGATGCTGTTTTGGCACGCATGGTTAATGGCAAGGTGAATACGGTAGATGGATATATATTCAGCTTGCAGGCATAGATTCGGATAGATTCATCCGGAAGAGGTGCGCGGGCATTGGTTCCCGAGGGTGAGGGAGACAGATTCGTGTCCATGCAGCGATGCAGTGAGATTTAGAGTCAATGCGTAGGGAGACAGTCACGCATCTCTGGCGAAACATGGCGCCCAAACCTGATCGTTGGCCGTGCAGCGGTTACACGTATTCGCGTTTCTGATTTTTGATGGTTCATGCACTCGATGCGATCCGGGTATGTGAAAACATGCTTCCCCAGGCTTGAGGTTCCGTGGATCTGGGGTAGATTGGCTGGGGAAAAATACTTCCGGATATGCTTATCACCCGCCGAGACCCTGGACGGGATGGCTATGGGGCCGAGTTGGAGCGCGGGGACTTTGCCATCTTGAAAACATTAGTGAGAACATTCTACATGCGTGAAGGAGCTGCGTTCGAGCTCCATAAACTGCCTTGGCTCAGATCTTTGTGAAGTTGTTCAAGTTCCCTCTGCCTCCCTTGGTAGGTCCTGGAACTGTCATTGACCAACGACTCCACATTCCTCGAGTTGCTGGCAAGAGGGTACATGTAACGACCAGTTTGAATGGTAGTAGGCCATGAAGCCTTCTCAAAGGCCGCAATTGCAAGCTTGATAAGCATCAAATCACTCCCTATATGCAGTTAATTTCGTATTCGCTATCCTCTTCCAACGCTGCTCTCGTACCTTGGGCTCCGATTAATGTGCTTGCTATGGGCCTCACTTCATCTCTTCCACTGATTCTTGAGAAGTATGGCATTTGGGCAACTGAAAACTGGTTAGTACCTCCGTGGCAAGGAGCATAGTACCATGTGACTTACACGGCAGCACGAGCTGAGGGGCATGCAGGATAGGAGATATAAACTTTTCCGTTATAGTAGGAAAGGTTCCAGCTGGACTACGAGAAATTGTCAAAACAAGCCGAAAAGAAAAGTTTGGCCCAAAACCTACGGGTTTGGTTCGTCGCGATATTCCGGGTCTGGTTCCCCATATGGCATCACGAGAATCGCGCTGGAAAGGCTTTCTGGATCTGGACGCATAAACCGCTTGCTGAACCACTCCCGAAATACTTCCAGTTGCCCCAAGTACTTATCGTATTCTTTGGGGGTGACCTGTTTCCCAACGTCCCTGATTTATTCGTCAACGAGAGATAGTAACAGGAAAGCGGGGGACTAACCAACGGAACCGAACGACTGAGCTGGAAAAAGCATCTTTTCCAAACTTTGCCTTGTAATCATCCCGGAAGACATCAAATCCGTGATAGTAGTCGTAGCATAGTGCCCAAAATGCACTCTGGTTCTATCAATTAGCAACCGAATCGGGGACGGGATTTTTGTGAACACACCTTTTCGGTATACTCGAGCAATGGCAAGCCTTCAGCCTCTTTGGGGGGATTCTTTTCCCACTCCTCTACGAAGCTAAAAGGAGTTCTCTTCACTCCTAGAAACTCTTCGAGGGTAGTAACGAACTCTTCAGTTAGGTTTTGTTGCTTTGAATTTTTCAGCGGATAGAATTCCAGTGGGTAAAGGATCTTTGGAGGAAATTTTGAGAAGTTCCGAGGTATGTTTTCAAAAGTGCGTGACACGATATAATGAAGATCTCTCAAGTTACGAGCGAAATGGCCCACAGTATCAAACTCTCTGTTTTGGGGAGTTAGCCAAAGTAGAGACAATGGGAAGGAAGAGATAGGGAGAGGTGGGAGCATCACTAGGTACATACGGAGAGTTGACTGGTATCCCTTTCATTGACGTCGAGTTGAAGCTGGGCCGCAGTGAGAAGAGCCCGCTGCAAGGTGCTGGTGCTCGTACACTTCCGGCAGCTGTATCACGAAAATGAGCAGCAAATCGCAAGATAAGATATGGAATAGGGTACCATCATACAGTCTCCAGCCACAGAAAAGTCTAGCCAGCTATACCCAGCAAGAGAAGTGCCTGCGCCTGTAGAACTGCTTGAGGGGCTCTGGTAGCGGTCTCCGCGCGGATTGACCGGACAATGAAAGTCAATCCACTGGTCGGTAGCTTCTTCAGGCGATGCAAACGAAGTCATCTTCGTTTTTCCTACAATAACGGCCCCAAGAGCAATTAGCTTCTTGGTGTACGCGGCGCTCTCTTCATCTGGTCCGTAAAGCTCGGTCCATGGCCTGTTCATCATAGTCAATTGAGTGCCTTCAAGCCGAAAGATATCCTTGATTCCCATTCGAGCTCCCGCCAGAGGCTTTTGGGCTTGTACTTCATGGTCTGTGTAAAGCCGGCTTGGAACGGCAATCTTCTTCCATAGCCCATTTGAGCTAAACGCCGGGAGAGGGAAGTACCTAAGCATAAGTTTGTTAGAAGAAAACCCGAAAACAGGTGGGCATACAGGGAGTGTAACTTCTTTGGGTTCAGAACATCCTCGGGAATGACCCCAAATATAAAGCTATCCAGTTCATCTTCGTACAAACGGTATGCTTGTTGGATATTTCCCTGAGTTAGAAAGTATGGCCCCGTTGGGAGAACATTGGGTGGCGAGGTTGGAGCTATATGGTAGACTGCCTCGAAGCAACCTGAGTCCCTTAAACAGCCAAGTTCTCGCTGTGCATCGAGACTCGCGTCTAACTGCAGAACAATTGTATCCGCAAAGGGAGGAGCGTACACATCATCTACGTCGGCAAATCGGTGAATGAGTGCTTTGACTTCAGTGGCTGAGGGGGCGGCAGCGTTGGTGGTGAACAGGACAACAGGGATGGGATCAGATTCTACCCAAGGCTCAACTATTCTTGCCTTTGAGCAAGAGCGAGAGTTAGTTGTTATCTTATGCGAGTTATTGTACAGCTTACCAGAGGTTGCGGGTGCAGTAGGTAGGAGATATTGTTTACTTCTAGAAACGATAGGTTTGCAGAAGCCATGACGGGCGCTTATATCAGATGAAAAAAGTTTCCTGATGGATTCTAGATGGTGTGAGCTTTTGATGTCGGATATGTCCGTGTATCGGGTTGCGAAATTCACAAGCATAAGCTTTGCGCAGGGAGCAGTAGTCGGCACATTCTAATCAAGACGTGTTTTTCAAATAAATAAACAAACCCTCGACGCGGCGCGCGCCAAGTTCTTTTTATACAAATCTATCATGACCCGAGTCTACGTCTTTTTATTGATGAAGCAACTCCTCGTCTCGAGACACTGGAATTGCCTCCAGTACCGCACATAACTTCTCCTACCCGTCTAGATCCTGCGTCTCTAATAGGCAGTGTCCAGGACTGAAGAGTGTTTATTTCATACAGCAAATATGGATCAAGAAGATGCTCCGCTGCTTTCCTCACAGCCTCCAACCGCTACCCAGGCCCAGAATCGTCGAAAACCAAACGCCATCTTGGATACATGGCTCGGTTTTCCCCATACTCGAATTATTGCATCGGGCTAGAGCTCTAACGTGAACTTGCAATGATGATTAACACGGTGCCCATGGTATCTATTCTAGAGCATTCCTTGTGCATGCAACATTACCATGTAGAGATCCCAGCTGCAGATGCTTGCAAAATTTACCAATCCAACAAAGTTTAGTAGAAGCCCGTGGATGGACAGCTTCTTTCGAGACCCTTGCCGGTATAGGCCATTGAAAGGTGCTGCGAGCTGATGCTAATGTCTCGCAGCTATCCTTGTCGCACTGCCCATGGGTCGCCTTGCGGGTAATTGAGGCCGGCGCGAGGCAGTCATGATCATCATGCCGGGGATATTGATGAGCCTCACATTGTCCTTGTTCATCAGTAAGTCATATGATTCCTTTGAAAAGCCAGAAAGCTTACGATATAATAGTTGCGACCGCCAAGCTGCTTATTAGGCTTGTATGGGCGTCTTCTCTCTTTCTGTTTTGTGTTTCCTATGCTAATATCAAAAGCAGACCAATGCACTCATCAATGAGGCCGCTCTCGTGAACCTGCTGCTTTTCTTGTTCATCATGCCAGCCCTTATTCGTGTAGTCGGCATCTATTTGAAACCTAAAGCTCAAGTCCTCAGCCTTGGTATCTTGAAGTCCAGTTTATCGTTTCTATTTATAGGATCGTTACTTCTTGCCTTTGCTCCAAATTCTCCCTTGTTAATTGCCTGTAAGTTTGATTCGAGCTGTTGCCTCTTATATGGCATCTTTAACGAACTGTAGCAACAATGATTTACGGGCTCGGGTTTGGCGCCCGCTCAGCCCTTCTATCTCTCGCAACATCATGGATTGACCTAGAACGCACCGGTACCCTGTATAGCGCGGTATTTCTCCTTGAACAAATCGGTATGCTAGCCGGTGAACCCTTGATCCAAAATCTACTTGGCGTTGCGGTTGGGCTGCCAGATCCGTGGAAAGGCTTGCCGTTCATCTGTGCCAGTGTGAGGTTTCAGCCAGCATTACCAACCAGCAAGTTCTATTTTGACACTCAACCACTAGTCATTTTATTTCATGAGTCTCGTTTCCGCCTTTGCAATTAGTCGACATATTGGTTGATGGCTTCTCTCGTTCATTAAACAGCCCTCCATCCTCAACCTATGTTTGTGTACTTCGCAAGGTAGCCAGATAGTACGTAGCAATGAGGAGCTAGTCCGAGGTTGTTGCTGGTCAATATTTGGGAGAATGCCGTATGAAGTTCATTACCTGCTTGCCAGCAGTCTTCCAAACAAGCGAAGAGCTCAAGCTTGAGTCTCACCACTTTGTTTACCAGCCAATTAGCCAGCGCCAGTGGACTTGCCGCTAACGGCCCCGCCAGCCTTGTGGGCACTTGGTGAGGTGCCGCGCGTAAACTCCTACCTCAGTTGTTTGCAGTGATGTGGTTCATGATGTCCCTTGGGAGGTCACAGTCAGTATAAGGTACCTATATATATTCATGATTCTCTCCTCTAAATTAACATGACTACCTTACCTTAATCTCTAAATTAACATAACTAATTTGCCTACCGTATATGTAATTCACAGTCTGAGTTTGCAAGGTAAATTTTGCAAGTCTATCATTCAGATCTAGCTCCTCGCCTTATTCCCACTCGGCTCCTTCAAGGCGTTTGACTCTATGACAGGGTCGGATGGAATGCAGAAGCCAGGCCCTGGAGAAGCACGCGACATGACCGACTTTTCTCGTCAATTGGCTTTTCTGCTATCGGCCGAGCTAGATTGGATTGACGTCATGCCAACGTGGTGTTGAGTCTGCGATCGGCAATGAAGAAAGGCCCATTGAGGCACTAGCACAATAGACTTGCACCAAAAGCAGCATCATGCAGTTGGCAGGCATCGATAAAAATCAAGCTCGCAAGCTGCATTGGGCGATGACTAGTGATTCCGAGAGCTGCTCAGGTCGATCATGTTCTCGATAATCGGTGAACTGGATGATTCAGGGACAATGGTTGACACGGGATCGCTTCAAGGGTCGCGGTAGTGCTTTTTCTGCATGCGACCATGTCATTGATGCATCATGGGTGCCCTGGCTGGTATTCCGCCAGATGCTCTTGCCCTGCCCATCCAATTGCAGATGGCTTGACGACGAGCCCTGTGACAGTTCCCGTGGAATGCTAATTGGGAGGCAACCGGCAGGATTTGAGATCGAAGCCAGGGACTAAGAATAGGCCATTGGATACGCCCTGGCTTGTAATTTCGAGGATCCTTCACCCTCAAACATCTCCAAGCCTGTCTCACCCAAAACAAGGCTTCTGAGACTCGACCCGGGGGCTGGAGTTGCACAATTGATCATCACGGCCCCCGCAAAAGACTGGTTTCGTGGCACGTCGCAGGGAAGAATTGGCAATTGGGCAACGCGTAGTCTATGAGCAATCGATCCAATATTGGCTGATGGATGCAGGCCAGACCACCACCCCAGTGGCACCACCACACATAGTGTCTGTTAGCTGCGATGGGCTAGCGGCTAGCGATCGTCGATCTTCAGCTGAACCAGCCTTGTGCAATTTGACTTCATGGGCAACAAGCTCGATCGATGGCCTGCAGGCATCAATGGACAACAGGGAAGCATGCGCTAGCTGGGCATCAGGGCATTTCGCAGTGCGTGTCGGCCCACTGCGCGCCATCTAGCAGCTCGCCAGGGAGCTCTACCGGCACTATTAGCTCTGGCAAATTAAGCCTCGGAGGGGCGTTTGGGCAGGAACTTCGATGACGCATTTGAGACATCACCGGCAGCAGGAGCGGCTGGTCGTGCTTGCCTGTACTGTACGCTGTACGCGCTGGCACATGTCGAACGGCAGAACAGGCTTGTGGGTGTCATCCATCCCCCCATGTCATTTCACCTCTGCATCTCTGCCGGCTGCCCTCAGAGCAGCACAACGTCACTGACGCCACACAAGCTTCCTTGGCGACTGGCTCCCTGTGCTTCCCCTTCCCGGTTCGCTGGCCCCTGCTTCCCCTCCTCCCTCCGGTCCAATTGGCCCCTGCCTCCCTTGTGTTGGCTTTGGTCTGGCGTTGGAAATGATATAAGTATGGCGACACGCCTCGGTTGCGCCTTCGGGCACGCCTTCGGACCTTTTCTTCATCATAATTCTTTGTTTGAGCATTCCGTTCTCTCTCACCACATTATACCCGCAGTGATACTGTACAAGCAAACAATATCTTATTTCCTTTGATACCCAATTAGTTAGAAGACCACCCTCGATACCACCAATCCATAGCTCGGGATCTCTCTACTCCCTGCTATCTCTAATACACGCGGCCAATTTACAGCATCGTACATCATGGCCGCCAACGTCAACCGCCCCGTCGTGAAGGAGCAGAAGGACGCAGATGTCAACCGAAAGCTCCAGATTTACGGTATCATCTCTGCCTTTAAGAATGGCAAGGTTCCATCGGTATGTTTATCGTCGCCCGGGAGGCTTCTCGTCTGGCAGCAACTCACCGGTGGAGAGCTTGCCATGTGACTGAGCTACCCTCATCTTCCCTCCATACGTACTGACTGCTAGCTCCGCAGAATGACCAAATCGACGTAGCTCTCAACAGCTTCTTGGAATCGCAAGCTCTGTCCAAGCCCTCAGAGAAGCTTTCCGCAGATGGCAAGCTCCTTGTCCAGGATCTCAAGGAGGTTGTGCAGCAGTCCAAGAACCTCATACTGTCCAAGAATCAAGGAGACCTGATTCAGGACTTTATTTGGCAAACCACCCAGTATGAATACAAGAGTATCACTGCTCCTGGCGCTCCAGTTGATAAGGACACTGCCAAGCGAGATGGAGACGAGGCTCTCAAGGGGTTGAGGACTCTTGGAACCCTCATTATCACCAACGGCCAATTCCGAAAGCTGCGTAAGTCAAATGATCACCTTGAGATTCAATTATTTGCCTATGTCCTAAACTAACACTGCTCCAGTCAAGGACTTCTCTATTCTTGTTCGCGATATTGCGGGAGACGCAGCCAGCAATGCCGCCAACAAGGTCCGCCCTTCGGAAGAACAATTGGGTCAGCTTGATGAGGCCGCCCCGGACAACACCTGGCATGAGAAGCCCGACCTGAGCAAGAACAATCTTAAGAAGCAAGCTCAGAACATCTATGGCGGAAATGCTAAGAAGGATGCCAAGGATGTCGCTCAAGCCGGCATCCAGGCCTCTGGGATTCAGCAATCCAACATTCAGCAATCCAACATTCCGCAGTCCAACATCCCGCAGTCCAACATCCCGCAGTCCAACATCCCGCAATCTAGCATCCCGCAATCTAGCATCCCGCAATCTAGTATCCCGCAGTCCAACATCCCGCAATCCAACATCCCGCAATCCAACATCCCGCAATCCAACATCCCGCAATCCAACATCCCGCAATCCAACGCTGCTGCTGGAGTCGATAGGCAGGCTGCTCAGTCCGCCGTTAGGCAGGTCGCCGAAGATAAGGTTGACCAGAATGTTGATGACGAGACCAAGCAAAAGGTCAAGGAGCGTAATGCGGAGTATCGTCGACGGGCTCGATCTTACTTTGATAAGAAAATGCCCAAGGAGCGTAAGGATCAGATCATCTTCAGGCTCAAGAAGATGATTCTGGAGTGTCAGCAACACACCGATTACATGGAGGCGATTCAAACCCTGCTCCGCCTAGCTGAGAACTACGGCAGGCATGGGCGCACATTTGGATCCGGCTCGGCTTCCACTGCCAAGGAGACTAGGTCTGGCTTTGCCGCTGCTGAGGCTGACCTCCGTACCATCATCGAGCGTTTTGCCAATGGTACTTCCACTGAGGATCTCTGGGCATCGATCGCTCAGATCTACAAGGATGCTGAACATGACGAAGAGCTTCGCAACTGGTTCAAGACTGTGGACGCCTACGTGCGACGTTGTCTCCTCGAGCAAGGGTACATCCTGGAGGAGGAGTCAACCGTTGCGTGGGACCGCCTCTACGACCAGGGCAGATACCTGCTTCGCGAGAAGTATCGAAGCCACACCGACCGAGTCCTCGATGAAATCAAGTTTGTCGCCAACCAATTCGACGAGGATGCTCAGAACAAGGCTTTTGCTAAGTCTGTGGAGAAGTTATTCCACGACCTGGGCAATGATGAGTTTGGAAAGGCTGTCTTCAAGCCTCATCTTCTCAAGGATTTGACCGAGGTTATCATCCCAGCCGTCTTGGAGAAGATTGCGTACGTTCCCATCCCGCGCATCGAGTACTCTGATCCCAAGATCGACGCTGTCATTGAAAACCTCGTTTTGGAGAGCGACAACTTCATGCCCAATATCTTTGAGATCGCGAGCGAGAATTATGTGCGATTGGGACGTAAGAAGTTCAGCAATAAGCACAAGCATAATATCGAAGTCAAGGCATCCGGCATCCAGATGGATTTGCGTGATGTTGGTTTCCACATCAAGCGCAAGCAGGGCTTCCCAAGCATTACCGATACCGGTGTAGCCGATATTATACTCCCTGGTGACGGTTTCTCGTTCAAATTGAAGATCTCGTCGGCCGATAAGAGTGACAAGCAGCATTTCTTCAAGATTGACAAAGTCGATGTCGATTTTAAGGATCTAAAGCTGAAGGTCATCAAGTCCAACCACAAGCTTCTTCTCACCCTGTTCAAGCCTCTTGCCCTCAGGGCCATTCGACCTGTGTTGCAGAAGGTTGTAGAAGCAGCTATCAAGCAGCAATTTGATCGACTTGATGCCGTCTTCCATGATGTGAAGCTGGAGGTTGATAATATGGTGACTGAAGCCAAGGGAGACCCTGAGAATGCTCCTAATATCTACAAGCGATACTCGACCGCCTTCCAGAAGCGTCTTACGCAACACAAGGAGAAGGCTAAGGAGAAGGCTAAAAAGGCCACCGCAGACAAGAAGTTCAACATCGCCATTACAAAGGAGGACAGCATTTTCCCCAATGTCGATTTGCCGGGTGGAATCAGCTCCAAGGCTACTGAGTACAGAGAGCTGGCTCGCAAGGGTGAAAAATGGGAAAGCCCAGTGTTCTCGATTGGCAACGCAAAGCACAGCACCGGCCTTCCTAGTGCTCCAAAGATTGAACGCAAGGCTCACCCAGCCACAAACGGTCATACCAACGGCCACACCAATGGCGCAACTCACACTAATGGTGCAACCAATGGCCACACGAACGGGGCAGGCAACATTCCTCGCAACGCCAACTATAATGGGGGCGGCTCTTACAAGCCAACTACCACCGAGTTCCTCCCACAGGTTGCTTCCCAGGCTGCCCCAACCCAGGCCTACCCAACCCAGGCCTATCCAACCCAGGCTGCTCCGACCCAGGCTTATCCCACCCAGGCCGCCCCAGCTCTTCAAAACTATTAGAGACGTGCCATTGAAGCCGCTGAACGTATGCGTGGCATAGCACAGATCAACAAAGATAGCTTGAACAGCTAGTCCAAATGCTCAGCTTTACACACCTATCGATTTTCTCTTCCGTTCTTCTTCCGTTTTTCTTAGGCTCTGGTTACTTAAAACACTTGTTTTGGTTTTGATGATACCAAATTTCTTTTGACGAGTAGGTAGATGGCCGGTTTAGTGGGGCAGTCTTAATACCCGTGCTCTGACATTACAATTCTTTTCTTCTCTAATTCCAATTTTTCTATTCCTTTTCTATACCTTGACGTTTCTACTGTGTTCGGTTTTTGGGTCATTTTCCAGTCTTTCGCTGTTCTTCCCAATTGACCCCAAGGGAGTGACACTGGTTGCTCTTCTGTGTCTGGTGGTAAATTGGAAGAGAATGAACGATGTCGCTTTCGTAGTTATAACTTACTAGACGATAGCTACGATTGGTCCACACATACGCATGAATATGAAAAGACTTTTATGAAAACACGTTCTTACCTCAGGAATCATAAATGTGCCATTGTGAAATAAAATTCTCAAAATAACTAACTCATCCTTCAAGAATCGGTCACATCCTTTGTAAGGAGTAAACATTTGTGAACTTTGTCCCTCAGTGCGGCCGTCGATTACGGACGCCTGTTGCGCACTAAAAGGACTTTGGGTTGAGCAGTAGGAGTTTACCTGGGAAGGACAAGCCGACAAGGAATGGGAGGGGCCCTCCACGATGTGGCTTGCGACTGGCGAGCTCCGATATTTTACAAATGAGATGGGTGAGGCGATGAAGGTTGCGGATCAGTAATGTCCGTGGGGCGTCGTCTGCCAGATGCCGGAAGACCTGCCAGTGTGGGAAACGGAGACTCTCGGATTCATCGCGGAGGACTGGAGAGCCGAGGGTTGAGCACTTGGGATCATCTGCCCCGGTGGACGAGACGGCTCTCAAGGTCGCCCAGCTCAAGCTTGCGCAGTGCGAGGATGCTTTCGAGGCGTCCCGTGCCGCGGCGAAGGATATACAGCCAAAGGGTCCCGTCAGAGCGCAGCTGGAGTACGCAAGGCAGAAACGAGACAAAAGTTACCATTCAGGGATGCTAAGATTTAGGAAAGAGGAGTTCCCTATGATAGCTCCGTAGTTCTCCATTCTCCCAGATGTCCAGGCCCAGGCAGAGGAGGCTATTGAGAGGAGGCAGGCTGATTTAGACTCTTTTTTAAAGAACGAGAACGCTGCGCCACCAAGCCAAGAGAGAGAGTATACGTTCGGAGTGGATATGGAAGTATTATTCGATTGGGAGATGGCGGACGAGTTTTCTTGGGACCTGGTGGATAATGTTTCTAAGTAGGCCATGGAGGACAGAAAGCACGAATCTAGACCTTACGTTGGAATATGTACATCGTTTGGTTTTTACTTGCTTACATATTGTCTGATATTCTATTGTTTCGAATTGTGTAGTGTAAGTCAAGAGTATGACTATAGCCTTAGTTTGACAGCGAATTCCGCCATGTCGTGCGTCATCGTAGAACTTTAGTATCAGCATAGTTTCAGTTTGTCTTGTTATATATTAATACCAAGGATATTAACTTATAACCACATCTTTATTGTTTCTTTTGCTATCTTTTTCTTTGCTGTGTCGAAAGAAGCAAGTTGATCAGCCAGGCTGGGGATGTTGTCTTAGCTCTAGGGTAGTGCGTCATGCATAGCGGTTCGCTTAGCGGCGATCATCAACTTCGACACTGACTAGGTCACACCCCTAATTTTTCGAGGGTGACACAGCCAGCTCACATTCATTTGGTTACTGCTTTCCCAGCTCCAACCTCTATCTGAGGAGCTGAAGCTCATAATAAACCACGCATTTATTTCTTGATACCTAGTTCTTGTCCAGGTGTTTGGGCGGTGCTGTTGAGTCCTGACAACTTGACAACCCCGCCTATGATCCTCTGATTGAGGGCCCAGTTATTCATCACCATCATGCCCGCCTCAGCCACTCTTACATCTGAGCAACGGCACGCCCTGTTTGACATTCTATCGCACAGCGAGACGTACTCCGAGATTGAAAACTTCAAGTACCCGGACGGCGTCACCGGTTATGGCTTCCCCTTCAGCAGTGAGACCGTCATCCCCCCTCCTCCGGGACGGAGTGCGTCCACGACGCCTGCTGGTTCGGGACGCAACACCCCTCGGTCACGCTCCAGAACCCCTGTGCCGCCTGGCGAGGAGAAGAAGTCCACGGAGGCTGGAGCGGGGACCAATGGGGGGATAGACGGCGAGAAGGACCGGCCGCCTTCGACTTCGCCCGTGCTGCAGACGCTATTCACCAGGTTCGCGCTGCGGCTGCCCTGGCTGCGAGAACTGCCTCGGGATTTCTGGTCGGTCAAGATTCAAGGGATCTTATCGAAACTTGCCGAGGCAGAATTGTCTGAGAGTTATGATAAGGGTGCGCTGGGTCTCCGGAAGACACTGGCGACGGGGTCGAGCTCTCTTCTTGAGATGCTTGGAAGAGGCGCCTTAGGGGGGCTGAAGAAGGAGACTTTTGCCTCCAATGGCGAGTCTAAGAAGGAGTACGACCTGCAAAAGGCCGAAGATCTGGAGAGGGCGTTTGATGAGATCGTGCACGGTCTCGTCTATGGGGATCTCGTCAAGAAGATGTGCGACCACATGGTTGAGACGGACGATTTGGAAGGCTTCTCACCCGCCTCAAAAGCTGCTGTGCAATATGCCATCATCTAGTAGGTTAATTTTTTCCACCGCTTATCTGCTATGTTGCTCTAACCGCCTGCTACTGCTTATAGCGTTGCTACATTTTTGCACCAGATATTTGTCCTGTCGCCTGAAGGCCAGTACCTCCTTCAGTTGATTCAGAACCTTCATAATCTCGTTCCCTACAAGATGGTCAAACAGACGTTACGCATAAGCAACGTGGCGACTATGATCAACGGCATGACCAGACTAATGCTGGCCAAGGTCAGCATCGGCGGCATCACCAACTACTTTGGATTGACTACCAATGCTGACGACGGGATGAACCTTTTCCAACGAATCATCTCCCTCATCCTCTCCTGGGACGCTGCCGAGTTCCGCAAGACGGCGGAAAAGGTCGAGAAGAGCAAGGCCAAGGACCGGCCGGACGAGGACATGCTCAAATCCATCAAGCAGTTCATCGATGAGAAGAGCCGCATGCAGCACGAGGCGGCGCGGGCTATAAGCATTCACAAGAAGCAGTCGATCATCACAACAATTCTGACAGAGAACGACACCGATCTGACAGAGGAGCAGCATTCACAGTGCCTGGAATATTACTCCGCCCTTCTCTCTATCCACGACCGTGACGGAATCACGGCGGCACTGTGCCGTCAGCAGCCAGACCTGTTCTCGCAGGTGGTGCGGGATGTAGTGCACATCTACGAGCCATTCATCAGCATGGTTCACACAGGGGTGGATTTGAAGGAGTACTTGGATGGCGTGCAAGTATTCATCGACGAATTCATCAAAGCGTCGAAACCAAAGACGGATGCAAACGGAGAGGTGCGGCCGGCAAGCGTGGAGGACTACGTCGAACTTCTGAGGAAGAACAGAGGGTTCATGTACACGTGGGTCCACGACGTCGCGAGCAAATGCCCCGGGGTCTGGAGCGAACTGGAGGCGTGGGCAGTAGACTCGTTTGCCAAGTTCCAGCAGAAGCCGGCGCAGCAGCCCGCTGACGGCGAGAAGTTAGATGATGAAAAGGAAAAGGAGAAGAGTGATATGGACGCTCGTCTGGAGAGCCTCTTCCAGTCGCTGCCTGAAACGACTCAGAAGGAGGTCCAGGCAGCCCTCGATGCTCAGGCCAGCTACCTCGCCAACCTCACTGAAATCTCGAGGGAGAGCTTTCAACACCTTTTGGATTCCACCGCAGACTCCGAGTCCGAGAAGAACAGTCAGACCGGTCCCGGGAACTACCTCCACCGGTGGCACGCCCTACTCGACGAAACCGACATAACGCCGGAGAACGTTGTCGGGCCGGTGAGGAAGGGTAAAGATGTCAAACACACTCTGGCATTAGGCAAGACCAGTATTATCGGAAACAAGCAGGAGGTCCCGCCTGTGCCTAAGAGGGCGGCCGGTCCAGCTGCGCCCGATGTGAGCGTCGTCGTGAGCGAGATGGGACCTGGATTTTTGAAGATTCTACAGGAGATTGGCGGGCCAGGCACATAGAAACGTGAAAGGGGCATCTCTACGCGGGTGGTCGTGATTTAGCTGGTACCAGATGATCTTACATACATTGCATAGCACTGGGCAATGATGGAGTTTTGAACAATGCAAAAGAGGCATAGAATTAGACGTTTGACTCTGGCCTAGGTGAGCTAAGAATAGAAGGGAGACGTTGCAGCGATACTATGATTGATGTTATACTCTGAAGCGGAGCAACGGCCAATCTAACCCAGATTAAAATTTAAAAACACTAAACTAATCATGCAAGAAAGGCCATAGCGGAATGCCTATTAGTCGATTGAAAGAATGACTGAATAGATAAAAGCCCGGTGCTTTGACGATGGCAAGCGGAACTGAGTGAATGCTCCTATTTTAGAATGGCGATGGAGCATCTAGCCAACCTGTTGTCATCTCCTCATCCTCCTGAATGACCGTGTTCTCGTCGGCTTTAGAATAATACGTGATAGAATAGGGAAGTGCGCCCCGGGGAGCCCTCGTTGGCGTTTCAATGACAGCATCCCGGTGCCCAGTTCTCCAATCCTTTTCCTGAGATGATGGTGGTGTTTGCAGAGAAAGACTCGATGGAATACTCTCGTTAGAAGAAGACCCATCTTCCGACGGAGCTTGGCTCAGAGGCATCCCGGGGGACTGCGGGGTTAAGGGTGGGCTAATGGGTTGAGCCGATGTTCGCGACAAGACGGGTGTAGACAGAGGAGCCCGGACTGGCCTTGAGCCTAGGATTCTCTCTATCGACGAGACGGGCTGGCCAAGTAAGAACTCGGGTTCCTCAGTTACCTCCGTGGCAGGCAGGGGCTTTCTGACGCTGCCCGTTGCTCGAGCACCCCGGTGGGCTTTCATTAGTCTGGCGAGGTCTACAATTGCGGTCCGCGCTGGAGTGGCTGCCTCGCCGAACTGGCCTACACAGTATGCCAGGCCGCTCACATAGTCATCCACTCTATTGTCGTTGTTGTCAGCAGGTGGCTCCGGGGTTGCCACAGCCGGGTCGGAAGTCAAATCGACCGTAGGCATGGGTTCGCAATCATCTCCCCCGGTCAGGTCGATGGCGGATGGGTCAAGCGTGAGATCAACAGTCATTATCTCGTCTTCATCTTCTTCCACGCAGCCATCATCGTCAATTTCGATATCAAGGTCTTGATCCACATCTATGACCATCTGTTCGTCACCAGCGATTGCTTCCGGTTCCGTCACTACATCTCGCCTCTGAAATGGCGGGTAAGGCCGTTTCTTCCTCTTCGGATATTCCTTTTGGGCCAGCCTTTCCTTCCAACACAGTTTCATGGAGATTCCCGTGATCTCCTCGAGGGCCTGGGCAAACAGCCCGCAGCGTGCACAGTTCTTGCGCGAAAAGTAAATCTCGAATCGCGGCCGGCTCCTATCCGTACAAGACGCAGTCTTCAGCTGCTCCAGGTGGCGCCTGGTCACATTGTTCAGGTCGTCGGTGATGCCGAAGAACTCCAGCATGGCGAAGATGGCATACGTCGCCAGCTTGACCTCGACGTGGCCCCCCTGGTAGACGCCCCTCCGGGCGAGCCTCTCCTGCAGAGTCATGTTGCGCGCTCCTGGGTTGTCGAAGGGCGAGGCGAAGGCTAGGCCTAGGAGTTTTGCAAGGTGTATCCCCCTCCGGGTCCATATGACATTGGGAAGAGCAGCACCTTCGTGCCCCCCGCTTGGTGTGTCTAGGATGTCTCCCATCTTCCCGCATCCGTGGCCGCTCTCGGACCAAGCGAGGATCATCCTTTGCTGGCTCCCTACTAGGGTGAGGAAGCCGGTTGTCTTATTCGTGAGGATGTTGTTGATGTGAGCGCGGCTTGCAATCTCCTTCACTCTCTTGTGGCCAAAGGTGAAGCCCAGATTGGGACCCAGAACCTCGACAGTCAGCGTCGCTTCGTCGGGGTTCACGATGTGGTGGAAGTAAATGACTGGGTTTGCGATGCGGAATGATGGCGTGTAGTCTGGCAACTCTTCGTCTATATTAGCATCTAGAGACATGTTGGTCGTCTCGTCATACAAAATAAGTCGGGTAGCAAAAATGAGGAATCAGTTTTGGTGTTGGCCTATTTGAAGAGTTGCTTGATTGGAGCAGCTCGTGTGTTGCTCCTCAACTGTGGTAAGTGCATTAGTGAATGGATGTTGCCTAGGAACAATATGCCAAACAACATATGCAAATATACGCACCCTTGAGTAAACAGACAATTTTCGAGATACAGGTAGAGAACACACAAATGAGATTGAGTAATGAGACACCTGATTCAAGAGTGAATAAAGGTGAAGTTATTCATGGTGATATGTATTGGAGAAAAGTGAGGGTATCCCCATGCTCGTGGCTGGCTGGAAGCAGCTGAGCCCGAGGGAAATCTGAAGAGGTTCTGAAGACATTCTGTGCCGGACTCGCATGAGCTAGCTGAGCTCATCGCTATAAAGTTGGTAAGTCAATGGCAAATCTCACTTGAGATGTCGAAAGGTTGCCTCCATCCGGGAGAGGACGTTGCAACTTACTACCTCGGGTTTGAGCTGTGAGTCTCAACGGCCCACAAACCAAGGAGCTTTACTTTTCCTACTAGTCGGCCCACAGACGGGAAATGGTCTCTTGCAGGACAAGACATCTCCCCATGCCACAAGTACAGTCTACAGTCAAGACAGGTATCACAGAACGAGCAAGCTTTTAGTCAACATGGACGAGTCCAATTGAGCAAACAGAATGAACCCAAAACAGGGGGAATCTCATTCATATATGCCGAAAAAATCTAAGACCGTACGCCCAAATTGTTCACGTGGGTCCCTTCCCACGAAACTTTTTTGCACCCGCGTTAGAAAATGCCGTCAAGTTCATATTTACTCGTCATCTTCCTCTTCCTCCTCGGCCTCAGCGGTGGTCTGGGCGATACGGTCCAAATCACGCTGGCCAGCCTGGGTGATGCGACGGCCACCCTTCTCCTCGTCCTGCTCAACGACGCCGATCTTCTCAAGGGCCTGGAGGACCTTGCGGTCGACGGAGCCGGAGGCGTCGTAGTGGTGGGAGGGTCGGTTGCCACGGTTCTTGGCGGTACCGTGGACCTTGCGAAGACGGCCGACACCGACGGTCTTGCGGAGGTAGACGTGACGTGCGATGGAAGCAGCACGGACGTAGAACCAGTCGATGTCCAGAGGAGGGAGCTCCTTGGCGTGACCAGTCTTGACGGTGTCAACCCAACCTTGAGGACGGTCAGTGATCGAGTTCGATGATTGCGGAAGAGGGGGAATAGTCAGAACTTACCAGGGATGGGCAGCTTGCCCTGACGCTTCAGGAACGCAGCATAGGCGTTGATGAACTTTTGCGCCTGATTGACAAATACCCATTAGCATGATTCCGTCTTCAGAAGTCTTGCGACCCCCTCGCGCCTGCTCCTCTATATGCCATTTCTAAAAACGAGCGTCTCTCTCACACCCGCCGCCGGATTGCAGCAATTGCTATTCCTCTTTGCTCAAGTGCAAACATCGCTGCAATCGGAAGCAGCGGCGGTGGTTCAGCTTCATCTTCGGATTTGAAACAAAAGAGAGTTGGGTGTCGTCTCGAGGGGTCGTCGTGGGATCGAGGAGATTTTTGGATTGTGTGCTGTGCATGCTCATCGGCATCTTCAAGGTGAACCTACATCAACATCGCGAACGCCAACTCCGCCAGCCATTTTTGCGGTATTGTTTGAAGGGGTGGGTGGTCGGGGAAGGATGGGGTGCTTGGTGCGGTTGGTGATTGTCGAGTCGTGAAGTTCACAAAAAGTTTCAGAAGGAAGTTGGTGTGGTCAATTCGTGCACTTGCCCTTGTGTGGGGCCACAAACCCTAGAGTGGATTTTAAGAAAATTGCTGACTCATCAGAGATCAGGCCAAGCCAAAGGTCCGCGCTTCGGCCGAGTACCTCAGGTATTGGACTAAGCCTATCCTAAAATTTGCTGACTCAGCTATCCTGTGCACAGGATAGCTGAGTCAGCAGTTCACAGTCCCGAATGAGGTTGCTTTCAGCGCAACGGATTCCTTATACTAACCAGATCTCCTGTTCCTGCAATCCCAACTTCTCCCGCAGAACCAATGAATTGTTGGCTTCTCCGTCCATGAAGCCATGTACATAAGCAAGCGTAACAATTTCAAAATGCTCCTCGACCCCTTCTGTTGGACGAAGTACTAGTGGTACCTGACACCCGTCTAAACACGCGATGATGTCCCCCTCCCGAGCTGGAGGAACAAGCATAACGTACAAGCCATTTTCAGTCATGCTAAATGTCCAATTGAAATACACCTTACTCCACATCGTGTTGATTTTACGATCAGAAAAGCATGGCTCCTTTACCGAAATTGAGCCATGGGTTTCCATATCTAGTATCCTCCGAGACCACTCTGCACGCACTATAGCGTCTTCCGACTCGATCTGTCGCGCCGTGAGTCGAATTGTAGGAGGTGATCCGCAGTCCATCACCAGAGTGCGCCAGAAGGCTCTGAGGCAAGATTCGCCAGTAACGTATTCCTGAGTTGTTGCATCTGATTCCATCAAAACGGCCCGGTCAAGGTACAGATCAAGGTATTCCATAGGCAGGCTATCTTTTCTCATCACTCGTGGCCCGCCCTCAGGGTTGATCCAGTCCATCCCCTTTTGGTAATCGTAGTCGGATTGTTTGATCTTTCCCACACGCCCGAGCTTTACGCCCTTGGCAACAAGTACCTTGCCGTCGATTACACGGCATGGCACCTCGCAGGAAGGCCGCCCAGCTTTGTAGGGACAATTGCTTGGGAATAGACGCCCATGGGGGCTTTTTTGAAAGTTGGCAGCCCAAGAAGGCTTCTCCACTGTTGGGCTGCTAATAGAGTAGCCATAGCCGGAATCAAACGTGTCGGCTGGGAAAGATCTCCAGGGGCCCTGATATATCACGTCCAAGTTCTCGTCGCGATTGATGAGTAGCTCGGTCAGATTTGAGAATAATCTTCCAGGGGAGTCTCCGCAGTCAATCCTAAGATCATCCATGTCCGTCGCAAGGTTTATCATGCTGTAAGTAAGGTCCCTCGAGTCCGCCGTCTCAACAGAACGGAATTGTCCCATTACTGCCAGCAGTGACTGCTCTGACTGCGCTTCTGACCCTGCAAGAACATTTCTCATGGTTTGTCTCTGATGGTCAATTCTAGCGACCATCTCCATCATGCGGAACAATATCGAAACCAGTCCGTGGTAAGTTAGCCCACAGATTGACTTTGCGTATGAACCATCGCCCAGGAGACCTTCAATTTTAGCCCAGTCCAAAACGTGGGAGCCTGTGACGAGGTGAACTTGCGGCGCAAGACAGATATCCCGGATAGTCCACAAATCCTTCCATATAGGTGGGCTTTGAAGAGCATTTTCAAGGTCCTGCTGCTGCTCTTGGGTCACGAGCCTCATTCCAGGTTCCGGCTCGAAAATCACGTCTGCGGCTCGCTTCTCTAAATCTTGAAGCAAGGAAGGATCCTTGTTGCAGATTCTCTCTATCAGCTGCAGGCCTCTCCCAACATCTTCTTCGCTTGCCGTTGAAGATTCGCCTGGTGGAGTGAGATTTGGCCCAAACCATACTAACACACGAACGCACTTCCTCAAAATCGTCTTCATGAACCTGATATAAAAGGAGCGCTCAGATAGGGATCGCTGGCCTACGCAAATAAAGTCGACCCAGAGATGTCGGGGCTCATTGCGGTAGCGCAACCTACGAAGAGCGGCTCCGACATTCGCCGGAACGAGCACGGTCTCCTGGTCAATGTATATCAGATTCATAAGTTTGGAGCTCTCGCGTGCGTAAGACAAAACTTCGAAAGGAGTTCCATCATTGAAGTTCCTTGTCCGGATAGAGCCTTCAATTGGAGAATTTTTATCATCTGAAGGCGAGAGTGTAAAAAGTCGGTATTGTTGGAGCAGAAGATCAAAACGTGTGTATAACTCCTGCGCCATTTTATTATTTCGAGGTTTCAACAAAGAAAATAGTGGCAGTTTAGTTGTAGACTTAGAGACGTCTCTATTCAGAAGAAAACCAGTGCCAAGTTAGGGTAAAAGATGACATGCAGTAGCAGAATACGAATCAAGATCAGACCGTGCAAATAGAGCCCGAAAGAACAAGGCTGAATAGGATCTCGAAATCCAAAGAGTCACGTCTCGTGTTTTGGATGAGAAAATCGGCGACTTCCCAAAGCAGCGCAATCATTGACCCTAGAGCGCATCAATTAAATGTGCAAGGTGGGTGTTGGACCTCTCCGGATAATAAAGCCCAGCAGCACTCTAAGATTCTTGCATTTAATTTCACAGCCAGCATTTTTATCAAGGAAAGAAGGACCTAATGCGAGAGTTATCTAGGATTGAATTAGCATGTGCTATTGCCACAAAGGCTACAATATGTAAATAATACGCCCCTCCGGGGTAGACTCTAAATATTTAACAGAATATGAACGGATGTGTATCAAACAATAGATCCTCCGAGTTCGGAAATGACGACAAGAGAATGGTATATAATTTGACCGAATGGACATATAACATGACCAGTGTGATTATTCCATGAAGTCCTGACCCTTAAGCCCATTTGGCAAGAACGGCCATAATGGCCATGCCAAAAGCAATACAAGCGAAGGCGAACAGAAGCACCTTAAGTGAAGCCTTGCGCATGGTAGGGTTGAACATAAACTCATGGGCGAGGAGTTCGACCAGACCCGTGTACATGAGGATACCGGCAGAGATGGAGTCGAAGATTCCGTTGACGAGCTTCTGGGTGTTGGCGTTGTTTGGCTTGGCGCCCACTCCAGCAGCGATACCAATTGGAGTGGAAAGACAGAAGCAGAAGGCAAGCAGGTAGGGCAGCCACTGCTTATCCTTGGGCCAGGGTGCAACAGCCAGCCGGGAGCCCAGACCAAGGCCCTCAAACATCTGGTGGAAGACAAGAACGATAAGGAGGACGATGACATCCTCGGTGGTACCAAGAGTCAGACCAATGAAGACGCTGTGGAAGAGAACACCGAACTCGAGAATGAAAATGTCCAGAAGTTGGCCTCCGACGTTAGGGTGAGAGTCTCCCTCCTCATGGGAGTGCCTGTGCGCAAGGTGGTCGTGGGGCTCATTCAGGGGGCCATCTTGTTCTCCCCTCTCAGCAGCACTTGAGCTGTCCTTGGCTGAGCTTTTGGCAACGACGTCCATGGCAGGGTCCAATTCGAATTCTTTCTGAGCCGTCGATGGGCTGCCGTGGCTGTCCAGCGACCTTGAAGCCAACATCTCAAAAAAGAACATGAGCAGGACTGTCCAGAGCCCAATGGCCTCTGGCCAAGGGTAGTCTCCCAGCATGGGCTCCAGACATGCATCGCTGAGGTTCTCAACGGCAGGGTCAAGCAAATGTAGCCACGCCGTGGCGATAATGACGCCCGTACCAACGTATTTGCAGATGAAGAAGGCGAACTTGGGGACGGGGATCTTGGATTGCCTGGCGAGAATGACGGGCGCGAAAGCACCGACGCCAGAGGCCACTAGAATGATGAAAATGGAGGCAATGCGCAGGCCGAAGTAACCGACATCAACGGCATCGCCGTTGCACTGATCTTGATCAACCTGGTCTGCCATGGCTATAATATGTCGAGCTGCTGAATTATTCGCTGGATTGTCGGAGGGTTTACCCAGGTGTCGTCGTTTTTTCGAGTGTATGATACTCAAGTATGAACGAGTGTGCTGTAGTCGGTATCCTTTGAACCGATTGGAGCGAACAGGAACAAGTTATAGACGAACCCTAAGCGTTGGAAATACCCGCCGTGAACCTTTATGGTGAAGATAAAGATCATTTCTGGATTTGTGAGTACGGGCGGGCCGAAAATGGGATCATGGTGGATTTTGTTAGATTCAAAGAGGCAACATGACGGGAGTGAGATGCCGAACGAGCAGCCCCCAGACAGGCTATGGATACAGTCGATTCGTGGCCGTAGATAGTCCCTTGCTTGTATTGATCTGTGTGGGTGGAGAGACAGGCAGGGACTGAGAGTGGCTTCCAGGCGGGAGCTATCTTGAGACAGCTCAACTCTTATGCATATCCGTCAGAACAGACTTTTCCTAAGCGAAAGCTTGAACCTAATGTTGCATTCGTTCCGTCGTTCTTTCCTTCTTTTCCTTTCCTCAGGGACTGCCGTTGGCGTTGACCACAGTCCCGGCAACGGCAGCAGGTACCAAGGCACCGATCACACGTCGTGCTGGCTGGACATGCCCTCAGCCGTTGAACGAGGTGGCCAGGCATGCCGAACGACTGTAGGCTGTCTCGAAGACCGGCACGCCAGATCCGAAGGGAATCGAAGGGTGTGGGTTTTCTCACCCATCGCAAATGCTAAAACGCTGGGTCGGTGTCTTGCGTGCGTGGCGCGTGGCTTTTAGGCCGTTTTCGAAGCATCGCGATATCAGCCAAATGGTGGTTTTTCCGGACGTGAATTTTTTTCAACGCATCGCGCAGCCTCGTCTCTGCAGTCTTGGCAACAACCATCTGCATCGACGGTCAGAAACAGCAGGCAGATCTGTTTTCAACACCGCTGCGCACCTTGATGATTGTTTTTTGCGCCTCTTTGGGTCCTGCTGGGGTCCGACAGCTAACGACATTCTGCCCCCGCCTCTCGTCCGGCGAAGTGTCCATCAAGGTTCTCACGCTTCAAGTGTCTGCAACCATAAACGAAATAAGGACTAACTAAATCGGATAGCACGGCAGATCGAAAGGCAAAAACTCTGCTTCCACGCTTCTCTGTTTTTAAAAAGGTCCGTAGCAATGATTTAATTTGTTTCATTGATATTACGTTTGAGTGGTGTAGTCTTCTTACCGGCTCGATTAATGCATGTACTGCCATTGGTCCGTCGCTTTCCAGCGGATCCACGAGATGGAAGCCTACCGTTTCTCAGCCTTGACATTCCTTTTCGCTTGGTGAGAAGCCTGGTCGCTATATGACCACTGCGATCACGGACCACCCTGTCGGGAGAGAGGGGGAATGGCTCCAGAGCCGCATGTGCCATGAATATGGTGGCCTGACACCAGGCCAAATAATCGTAAATTCCTCGTGAATCGACCTTCCCAGCCAGGTCAATCGTTATGATGAGAACTGAATCTCCAATCCAAGTGTCCGAAAAGGCTTGTCCGTCTTTCGCAGGTCGATGCCACTGCCTAAGCTAAAGAGTAGGGATTTTATCCTCCCTTCCCAGAGGACTCCAATCTGCAGGTTCTGGTCCATCCGCGCCTTGAGAACCCCCGCATATTCCTCAGGGTCTCCATCTTTGGGCGTCTTGATAGGTTCCGGGTCATCCAGCTTCCATTTCAACTTGGACTCGAGGCTTCGCTTCGGCAAACCGTAGTTGTCGTCGACCAGTCGGGGGAGTGGCTTCCTCCACAGCTCCGTGCCTACCGCCCACGAACTCTCATAGCTGAAGACGTTGAATTCCATGCGCGTCGCGAGGCTGCAATGCTTGCCTGCCACAACTGCATAGTTGGCACTGATGGTCCCCATAAGTGGGTTCACTGTCAACGTGGCGGCGAGAGGCGTCCCCTTATGCGACGGAAGGGTCGCAAACCGAGCCCCCAAACTGATGCCACCTGATTTGTTCAACGTGCCGTAGTAAATCTCTCCTCCTGTACTGAATCGGCCGTATATGCGCTCGCGCTCCGGGTGGTTTCCGTTCTCAGCGGGCGCCGCAACCTTCGGGGGTTCGGCATCGCCACCAAAATTATAAACGCCTCTGAAGCCCAAGAGTCCACCGTCGGAGGATGCGAGGCCTTCCAGCGCATATCTCCCCACATCATACTGAGCCAGCCCTACCGTCGTTCCCCCATTGCGAAGATGCGCTCCCGATACCGCGCTGAACTGGACCTGGAGGGCCGGGGAGATTCGCTTCACTACCAGGGCCTCGAGGAGAGACTGCGGAAGATAGAGTCTGCCATAGAGAAGGGAAGACTTCGCCACATCCTGGCCTCCAGTGAGTGCGGAGGTCTTCGATTTGAGTTCGGTGAGGGGAGCCAAAGGTCGATACGCTCGGAGGAGGCTGGGCAGAGAGATGCGCTCGGATCGCGATTCGATTGCTACGCGCAATGGTACGGAGGAGTAGAGATATGATATCGAGCCATCAACGACACCAACGGACCCCAGCTCGTAGGATGTAGCAAAGTTCGGACTGGAAAGCGACGAGAGAGTAAGTCGTAAGCCTCGCGGAGTAGGAAACTCTAGGAGAGCTATTCTCAATCCGTTAGATTCGATATAGGTCAAAGAAGGAGAGTCATTTCGAGAAAGGCTTTACCGTCAGGCGTGGAGTTGAGGGCCGCATAGGAGTTGTCACGGTTCCATCCTGTGGCTTCGTAGAAAGCGCTGTGGACATAGTCCATGAACTCGCGCATGTCGACTCGCTATAACATGTCCCCTAGGAAGCGACGAGGTAATCGCCGTCTGGGGCTTAATCAAAGCTCTCGATAAGTTTTAGAAGCTGTCGTGTCAATGGATACTGGAGACCGGGAGGAGCTGAACCTGAAAGTTTTCGGTTAATCCATGGAAATGACAGGACAAGCTTGATGACGCTGTCGCCACAACCAATTCCATTGTACTACTACTGTTCACCTACCCTACGGCCGTGCTTCTATCTTTTCATCTCAACCTTCCTCGCATCCCAAACCCACCAGACATCATTGAAGAGTGTCATTTTTGTAAGCTCATTTCAAAGTAATCATAGAGTAAAGGATATATTCAGCACAACAATGAAAAAACTACTGGCTAGGTATACATTTGGGAGGCTAGACCTTGGGACACAGGTTAAGATACTTTCATAGTTATGTTCAAAGTGCTGAATATTGGATCGATTGTCTTTCGCATTAGCCAGCGGCTGTTAGTGTAGGCTTCTACAAGATGTGGTCGAGACGGACTGCACCAGCTTGACAGTCGCATAGCTTTTCAGGTCAATTTCTTGGCTTTGTTCTGCTGAGCGTGACGGCCTATTAAATCCCAATGCTCTATAAGATGTGAGACAAAACCCATCGATGTCGCATTGATTGGGTAGATGGAGTAGATATCAGATTTAAAGCTGATACCTACGTCGGCCACATGCAGAAGAAGACAAATCAAGAAACAGTGCGGGGAACGATTCCTCCGATATGACATCTGGATATTCGTATTTAATTGCCCTTCCTTTCTTTGCCTATTAATGATTAAATAGTATTTTTGTTCTCTGCGCATGAATTGATTATCCTTACCCTAAGAGTCCTGACTATGGAGTACAGAGATGTCAATATGAATGTCCTCCCTTCCAACTCGAAACTATGGGTAAGATAACTGCTCCTTCGCGAAGCAACCAGTGACTTTCGTTCTCAGAACATATACTTTCTCTGATAAAGCTTACTTCATATTTACCATTCAGCTACTTGATTTGGGTCATCTGGATTGCGAAGCCACTGCGCTCTATTCGGGAGCAAATTCTACTGGCGTTGGCAAAGGGCCAATTGAGCATGAGCGGCGGGATGCCGTGATGATCTCCGCATTGCTTTCACACCCCGATGTTGGCTTGATTCTCTTCGATGTCGGTAGCTGCGAAGACATAATTAAAAACTGGCACCCGGCAATCGCAGAATGCACACCGCGGCAATGGGAGAAAGGCGTTCACGACCTTCCATCGGCCATCAAAGCAACAGGTGCTGGGACGATAGAGGATGTCAAAGCAGTTGTGATTAGCCATTTACATTACGACCATGCTGGTGGGTTGGAGAACTTCATGGGAACAGGTGGGAGACAATCAAACTCCTATACTTGGCTCGAATGCTGACCATTGCATGTGAACAACAGACGTCGAAATCTGGTGCCACGAGGAGGAGCTCAAGTACGCATTTTGGTCATGCGCAACGGGAATGGACCGCGCGTTCATGGTCCCGCACTATTTAGTTCCCGATAAATTGAACTGGAAGACGTTCAAACGTGAGACATTCGATATCTGGCCTGGTGTGAGACTGCACCATGTTCCAGGCCACACACCTGGCTCCATCATGATGGAGCTGACCATGGAGAAAGCGGGCACGGTGCTGCTGACCAGCGACCTATTCCACGTCAAGGAGAACTTCGAAGATGGGGTCCCGCAGTCTGGACCGCTGATAAGGGACTACACAGCTTGGTATCGCAGCTCCGAGTTCGCCAAGCACCTTGCCAAACAGAAAAGTGCCAAAGTTGTATTGGGCCACGAGAACAAATATTTTGAGGCCATGCCACGCAGTCCTGCCTTTACTGAGTAAAGACACCTTCGTCCGCTGTCCTGCCTCCCTCCTGAGAACCTCGAAAGTCGCAGGGGCACCATGAATGAATGACCCGCTGGCTGGACACCACAACGTATTGGAACTCACGGTTTGGACCTCTGCTGAATTTGCAGGAACACATCTGGAAGGGTGAATGTCGGGGAGAAGGAAAGCCGGCTGCCATTTGCAGGTATTAAAAGTCATCAATTCCAACATAAAATGTCCTCTTAAAGCGCCTGAACCCGAATTCATATTTTCTCAACGTCGGCTCTCACGTTAACCAATAAAAAAACTCTAATAATCTTGCGAAAGATTTTGGATCAATGAGACGTTGTCTCCCTTCAGTAAGATTTGCCCTGCAAACCATGTTAGTATCCGAGCTATTGCTGTGTCTTATATGGTGATGTTTTGCATACCAAGTTCCTTCCTCGATTCTACCGGGTTGTCTTTTGTGACCTGCTTGACTTCGATTGCGTCGTCGATGACAAGGTTCATGAATTCATCAAACCCCTGACGCCCCAAGTTAGCTTTATCCAGTTGTGTTGGTTGTGGATGGGTTCATTGTCTCACTCTGATGGTTCCCTCGATTCGGATGGACAGCTGCTCATAGAGCCATACACTAACTCTCGCGTGCTAGAGCCGGTTAGCAATGCAGGAACGATATTCAATAGGCATCAAGTGGTGTATGGGCCCCCGAATCCTTGGCAAGTATCGGTATGGGTGAATAGCCGTCACCCCATGGCAACCCCGCGTCGATTGAACAATCTTAGGTTATTAAAGCATCGGCCTCTGCGAAGTACAATGCAAAAGAGCAAAGCGGGTTTTAATCGCCCAACTTAGTAGCGATTGAGCCTCAGCCGATGCGCATTTCGTTTTCGAGTCTCGACTTGATTCACTTTGTTTGCGGTGGGGTCGCTCCGGTCCAACACTGCCATTGTCGCGTAGATTCAAGGATTCGGGGGAGTAGCGGTAAAATCAAAATTCTGGTCAGCTTACCGTTTGGAGGAGCTTGAAAATCATATTGCTAAACAAGGCTGTCAGTAACTCGAACGCGACTGGGAAGCTGGGCACGTGGGACTCACATAGGAGGAAGGAGAACCTTACGGCCTCCGCCACCACCGCGTCCGGTCATTTTGCGATTTGGAAGTTGGATAGATTGTGCGACGGTTGCGCAGCTGTGGGTTTGGCCGTCGGGCAAATCGTTAACTCGAGAGGTTCGTCCTGCTTGCTGTAGGTTGTCAGGATGTTCGGAGTGCGTAGGTAATCATAGCTTGGGAAGCTTGGGAATTTTTGGCGGGGCAGGAACATCATTAATCCAGGGCCCAGACCCGGTAGGCTCGACCCTGGCCACCCTAGACAACCACCAGCCGTCCACGTCGATGAACCCGTATGCTCTCTTTCTGTCTGGATTGAACAAGGCTTTCAGTCCAGAAAATTCATTCTAGCAGGCAGTTACTCAACTGGATCCTGTGAGCCTCCGAAGGTTTTTTCTTTATTATTTTTTTCAAGTAAGATGATCACAAAGCCATATATTTAGACACTTTATTGTACGTGAGTGTACGTATTAGCAATTCGCAAGGCTGGGTATGAGGAGGCTCAGTCCGGGACAGTCTCAACTGAGTTATACCTGCTATTGATTACTCTTCATATTGACACACTCAATAGTAGTGTGAGTGATGCCCCATGGAACATCTCAAGGTGAGGAATTTACGGCAAGATCTGGCGTGGCCGCCCCTTATATAGGTTACCCTGAGATGGGAAAGTAAGAAAGACATTGGCCACTTCAAGCTCGGATCTGAAATCTAGTCCAATACATCAGCTCGACAAAGTCTGACTGTAATGCAATTGGTCCGACTTGGCACGAGCCACAAAATGGAAAAGGCTTTCGAGCAAAGGAGAGATATGTCAAGATGGGATGAATCTGCGGTGGGAAGTAACCAATTGTAATTCTAAGGCTAGATCTTGGTTGAGGATGGCCTATCGTGATGCTACTTTGGCATCGGAGGTTAACAATCTCTGGAGCCCGAACCCCTTGACCTCCACGATCAACTTGTGCCGCTTTTCGCTGAGGTGGTCGCTGAGGTCAAGGGGCTCGGGCTCCAGAGATTGTTAACCTCCGATGCCAAAGTGGCATCGCGATTGTTTTGGCCATAAGCAAGGGCTATTCTTTGGGATCAGGATCAGCCCTTGCTTAGGCCAAACCAACAAAACAATTAGTGAATTGGGCCGATGCTATTGATAAGGCAGGACAAGCCCTTCATTATGATTCGCTACCTTACTTACAGGGGCAGACTTGAGAAACAACTGAAATATATATTGGGAAATGAAATGAATAAATAGAATAAAAGGGTCATGAAAGAGGGAAACTCAACGTAGCAGGCCATTCCCCTCCTTTGCCGAGCGAACTATGAACAGGATTCTGGTGGATACATGATCTGGTCGATAAGGAGCATAATGTGCAATTCGTGAAGATCGGGCTGGACCAAGGATTGCGGTTGCATTAGCTTGAGCCTGCCGCATTGACAAAGGCACCACACTTGCCCTGATGGGGGGAACCAAAGTGATCAAATGAGGAGTTGAGAGATCATGAGGAGGATTAAGGGTTACATTGCATGGAGGAGACAGACCGCCTTTCGTTGGCTATCTGGTGCTAGGCCAATTGTGAATGTATCGCAAACACCTCAAGAAAATTGAACTTAGAGCCTGATAACTATATGAGGTTTTGATGAAAGAAAAAGAAATCGGCGATATGATGAAGCAGAATATGTATAGCAGAGAGAGGCGGTGAAGTGCTCTAGGTTCCATTATGACATTATTGTGTGCCCACCAAGATGGTTTACTTACACTCTCGAATTGGAAATAGGCACTTTGTTTTCCGATTCAGAAATATCATCAACCTGTCAGAATTTCCGCGTGAGCTAATGCTAAGACATCCGTCAGTAGAGCGAGAACAGAGTATAAGCCAGCCGGATTTATCGTACCAATGACAATGGATCCTACCTAGCTAATCGCGGTACTTTGGGGGCTTACATCACCTGATCTTAGGTGACACCGTTCACGCAACCCAATTGTTTGGGATTTCCCTCTAATTGCCGTGATAGCTGTCCAATCCTCATAGACACATGGGCAATGCTGAAAACCAATGGCCAATCAGAGGCCCTGCCCATGCCTTGGTTATCAAACCCAAGGGGTATTGAGGAACCACAGTACCCTTTTACAAACGTGACTAGCTTGTGTCCTTCTCTTCATAATATCACTCGTATACAACAGCTTCTGGGCAACAAGCACAACTACGCGACCGAGTCAAAGTGTGAGATCTTCGAAGTCTATCATGATGGAGAATCAAACCCTGTTGGAAACTGGACTCGGTTGGGCCCCTTTGAAGTTTCCGCCCACTTCAAGTAGGTTGGTAGACAAGTAGTTCAGCCTCAGCTCTGCTGTTCTAACGCGAGAAGAAACTATCGACGCCCCCCGATAATCTCAAAATGAGGGCAATGTAAGCGTATAACTCCGTCATTGTTTCTTGAGTTGAACCGCTGATTGAAACAGTTTCTGTGACCTGCAGACAGTTCCCAGTGCTGCCTTTGGCTTCAGGCTCAACATGACAAGACAAGACACTCTCTGCATGTTAGGTGCATTGCAGGTTTGCCCTCAATTCTGCCCCTCTCTTTTTGGAGAGCCTGACTACTGGGCACCGGCCGTGTTCCGGTCACGAGAGAAGAGCGGCAAGGTTTATCGGACAGGTAAGCGTTGCTATGTGCCAAAGGAAACCGTATGTTTAACCAATCCGTTCAGAATTCTGTTACCAGCATCCGCGGTACAACATACACCGGAGAAGGGACGAGCCCTGCTCGGTTTATGTAGCATATGACATACCAGAAGCCGTGACTACGTATATCATCACCAGTGCCGACGATGACCCTTGGGTGTCTCGAACCAAGAGTCGTCTTGCAGAGTATTGCCTCCGCACTGGCCCAGAGGCGCCTCTACAAAGAGCAGAGTCATTAGACCCGTTTCTTCTCCAGAGCATCCTCTGTCACGAACAGCTAATCGAAGCCAAAATCCTCATTAGCGAGCTACGAGGAAGACTCTCCGTGGTCTCCAAATCCTTGACAGTGCACTCTCAGATCCCTGCTGACGGGAGCCTACTCAACACCATCACCCAAAAGCTATACGCCCTCTCGGAAGAGGTAGATGCGCTGTATAGAAGGATCGAGATAGGCTCAGAGGTGGCAACGCACTGCGTCGGCGCCCGGCAGGAACTGCTGGACGCCCAGCCCAGCCGCGTCTTCGCCGCCAGCAACGTGGGCGACGCGCTGAACTACCTGGTCGACTCCCTCAACTCACAGAAGCAGTACATCCAGGGGTACAAGAACAGCAAGGACACGGCCATGACTCTTGTGTTTCACCTCCTGACGCAGCAGGATAGCCTGACGAGCACAGAGATCTCCCGGGACATGAAGAAGGACAGCGCGAGCATGAAGACGATCGCGGTGCTGACGATGGTGTTCCTCCCCGCGACGGCCGTGTCGAGCTTCTTCGGCGTGGCCTTCTTCAACTTGTCGGAGACTGGCCAATTTGTGGCGAGCCGCGAGATATGGATGTTTGCTGTGACTTCTGTTCCCTTGACGGTTGTCATTCTGAGCTTATGGATATTTTGGTCGCCTCTGTCAACGAAATTCAAAAGCGATTGGTTCTAATAAATTGGATAGAGGTTTAGTTAGTTCTTTTAGGTGGAATGACGATATTTATAACCGCTTTGAACACTTCATTTTCTGAGAGTATACCTCGCATTTGGCAAGTTCCATGATTGATCCGTCTTCTTTTACGATTAGAGGAGCATGTTAGAATCTATAGGTCAGTACACTACAGGTGATATAGACACTTATCTTTCAACCAAACCTGGGAGATAAGGTAACGATGCTAGATAGATACTAGTTCAGCTATTTTTACATCGGATGTAAGAGAAAGTTTGATCTCTTCGGACGTCCCGCATATACCTTGTGACATTTTTGCTGCATGTGTCAAGATTGGGCCATGAGAATGCGTTGTCATCTTATAATAGAGACCGGCGTCTCGGGAGTAGGGAACCGGTTTCGACATCTGCGCTTGCCCGTGAGATCTGGCAGATCTCCAGTTGCTCCTATTCTTGAAACATACAGAGACGGTAGCCTGCCTAGATACCCAGATTTTGTGATACCATAAAACGTTAGAGGCAACTACCCATAACAAACATCGTTTTCCGAGGACTGTCAATTTAGATGCTACAGCCTTTGAAACAAGCGCAATTGCATGCGCGAGAGTACGTTGAGTCTGCTGGGAATAGACCTGATCAACTGTGTGACGTTGAAAGCAAACAACATCTTGCTTATTTTCAGGCCGGCGACTGATAGAGCCAATGATAAACATTCAAGATATAATGCACCCCATATTGTTAAATTATGTCGTTTCACATTATTGATTCTTCCAGCCACTGCGGAAACTGCTAGTATGTGCTGTTCAACCTGATGCACCATGTCTTCCGACACCGGCTGCCGACTTCCAAGGCCAAACCTCCGATATCTGGTGATAAGTGCGGGATAGGCGATACCCCAGACTTTCGCACGGCGCCACTGGGACCAGATGCCGACACCTGTTGACTCTTCCCTCGCCTTCACTTAGGTGTGCCATTGGAGCGCCTCGCCGATAGCATGATTATCGGAATGGAGCGCCTCAAACAAGTTAGACGGCTCACACTCCCCCCGTTACGTCACTCCACCGTGCATAAATCCGCCATTCCAACTGAGAGCTGATTCATCAGCGTTCTTCCTCCTAGGAAACCTTTCCTGAATTAACATCCATCAAATCCCCTATCCAACTCTTTCCAGTTCCGGAACCCGCGCACATCCGAAGCAACTCGTATGATGTCAATTACACTCCCTAAGAATCCCTAGCCTACCTTCATCGCATACATGTGATATTTTCTTCCAGCCGTTCCTTTTTCCTCGGAACTGTATTCCGTTCGTAAGACTCCTCGGAAAAACAGCAACGTGAACGGCGCCAAGTAAACTGAATAAGCACCACATTCGGCTGCCCCCGAGAGGAGCCCCGTTGATGAGCAAACCCTCCCACAATTTGACACAATCGACTAAACCATTATGACGATCAAATTAAGGCCCAGTAGCGACCCAGTGTTAAAAAAAAAAAAAAAAAACCTGACAGGGCCCCGTGAAGACGCTACGTACTGGTGCTTTATGCGGGCCTTCACGCGCCACCAGTAAATTTTCACCTCCACCTGCTCTGACTCTGCTCCACCGGCGGCTCCCTCCAAATGCATTTGTACATAGGGCGCGCGCACGCCACAATACGAAGATTTAACCTCATTGGATCGGAAAAGTGCACGGTTTGCTTCGGGTGGTTATGGATCCTCTGACTAAGTAAATGGAACGTCCATGGAACCCTCATCGAAGAAATGAGAAAATACTCCGGTGGCCGGTAGCTGTCCACGATCTGACATGAATCGAGCGATGTGCAAGGACAGGCACACTTCGAATTAGACGTCAAGAGATCCGCTGGTGAAGATCCGGTTTGATTCAGTTTCGAGCCGGGTGGCGCACTCCGAAGCCGAGTCAGCACCTGCACCACACCGAAGCCGAGCCCATGAAGCTCGGCTTGGACGCATCGTATCCCAGCGGTTTCAAGCCGTTGGGCGAACCGAACTGCCCTGCTCCCACCGTTCATCCGCCCACCCCAGTAGGCAACTAGCTAAGCTCAGAACGAAAGGAGTTTGCGGGAAGGATGGCCTTAGGCTGACTTCTCCCACTCCTCTCCTTTGGTGACAAGTCCATTGCTCCGTGTCCTCCCATTCTCCCGGCGTGTAAATGCCCACTTTCGTCGGCGGTCGGCGTCCGCCATTGCGAGGGATCGGGGGTCCGATGACGGATGGCCAGAAAATCGAACCATGATCTTCATCCAACACGGCATGGTGGGTGGGTAATACGCAACCCTCAGGCCAGTTTGTCACATGACCGGGTCTGGGACGGACGAGTACGGGCGCGGAGTCGTCGCTCCTGTCAAGAAGACCGCTCGGAGGCTGGCAGATAACTTGCCTGATATGGGCGCATAGGCGAGAATAGGCGTATCTGGGTTAGGGGGGGGGGGGCAATCGGCACATAGCGATTGAGACAACATCGAATCCCATGGGGTTCATGTGATGGGACGCTGCGGTACGGCCGCGGTGAACTACTGGTTTCGGTCCAGTTCGTGAGAAATGAGAGCTCCCCAGACCTTCAGTTTGGTTCCCATGGGGTTCCCGCTAAGAACTGCCCATCCAAGCGGGGAGGATCAGTAGGCTGGTGAGTTCGGAGTAGTGAACATGGGATATTTCAAGGCAGACCTGAGCTGTGGGCTCCGGTATCGGCAGACCAGTGTGCTCTGGTTCGGTGTACTCTGTATTTGGGTGCTGGGCTTTGTGCCACAGCAGCACAACTGGCCCATTGTCATGCTACTACCGTCGCCGAACTGCAAACTGGGGTGATCAATCTCGATTTGGCCTGCCTGTCACTTCTCGGTCATTCCCGATATATCGCCTGATATTGGCATAGATTCCCCTTTCCACACTTCGATCTGGCCCCGGTGGAAGCTGACGACCCCCAAGCAATGGAACATTCCAAAACACGAATCGAGATCGTGCGCTCGAGTCCTTTTGCTCTCATCTGACTCATGGGGCCACGGCGACACTCGATTCGAGGTTGTTCGTTCGGCTCGCCAGTTGTCGGCTTGGCAATCTGTTACGTACAAAAGGCGGCTCCTAGGTCCGTAGCTACCTGAGCCGCTCCGCTATAATTTCCTAGCTCCTCGGAAACAGGCGAGAATAAGCACGTCGGGAATTGTGCCTTTAGGAAAGCCCTACACCCTTGACGAATCATTAGAGTCCTTGACAGGGTCCTGTGGCAGAGGTGGAACCCGCGGTGTGCAGGCCAAGTCAATCCTGCGCCTTCTGAACTATCGTGAAATGCTTCAATAGCCTCTTGCTCCTGAGCGTGCTGTTACATCTGATTCATGCGGGCCCAGTCTCTCCTGGTGTCGCTTGCTGAGAGTGGTTAGTAGGGGGCTATTTCTTCCGTAAGAAGATCCATCCCGTGGACTCTATTAATGGGCACCGTCTTGGGTGGAGAGATTGATAAAAAAAAGTCTGGTGGTGAGCTTGCTCTTTTATGGTCAATTGAATGATTTTTCTCCTGATCATGAGCGCGACGTGACCTTGATGAATGGCAATCACGCAGCCGGCTATTCATAATTGTTGGATAGATCATACGTACGGAGGTATTCACACCACTTACCGTTACATTGGAGTCTTACACCAGGAGAGAAGAGAGATGAGATGAGAGATGACACAAACAGGGCACACGTGGGCTGTCAACTTGGCAAGGAGGAGGAGTGAGGGCAGATGTTCCAAAGAGGGAGGGGTGTGTGCCCTGTTCGCTGCTGAGATTCGTCGATTCGAGAAGCAGGGGGAGGGGGGTGAAGAAGACCCAGAGAAAATTTTCTTGACCATGAGACTGGAAGAATCTAAGAGAGCTCTTAACGGGAGCGGGCAAGCCAGAGCGACGACAAGGCTGGGAGGAGGGGCTCCCCCGCTGGCCAATAAGGAGGCGGGCCCATGTAGGAATGGGCAATGGAGGTGCTGTATTATGAGCTGATATGATGTGCGGCGGCCATCGGGGCGCATGTCTTGCTTAAATTTTTCTCTTGTTTCGCTCTCAGATCGGAATGGGCAGGATGGCCCACCTGGAAAACACCGGGGCGGAAAATTCTGGATGCAGCTGTGACCAGTCTTTAATGGCTGTGGAACCTGGTGCCTGGCAACCAGCCACGGCGGGAATAATCAATAGATGGGCTGGATGTCATGATCGATGGCGGGATGGTGGTGGTAGCTCGTTGTGATGCTCATCTCAGGGTCCAGCCAAGCCATTGGGCGTGACTCTTGCCGTGATTGGTCACAGGAGAGGCTCTGCTCGAGCGCAATGTCCAAGCGCCTTCTCGACATCTTTGTCGACATGTCGGGATGCAATTGCGGCATCAGGTTTGCGCACCGCCGCTCGTTGCGGGTGCGCCCGGTGGATCGTCGCCGGCTTCTATCGGTCACGATCGGAGCTGGCACGGTGTACTGCCTATTTCTTACGTTATTTCACGGTAAGGCGGACCTACACCGTACATTGAGATGTTTCGAGCCTCTCCACAGAGCTAGGATGTGAAGCAACGCTGGTGGGTGAGTGATATGTTCTCGATTGTATGGAGTACGCATCTTTCAGCCTGAGCAAATTGTCGTAGCCCTCACTGGGCGTTGATTATACCAAGCCTAGCTGGTTAGCAGCAGTTGGGCAAACCTGCGCCGGACTCGGTCATCAAGGTGCGGTAAGGCGTGCGTGAGCCGCTGGGTGAGATTTGGATGGATGCGAATGTCATGGGACCAACCAACCGACAGAGTGATGGTGCCATCCACTTGCCGGGTTTGGCTGGGCCATACACCGTGACTCGGCTCTTGACTGGCCTGCTCACTCTGCTTTCCGTAACAGACCATGTTTCCAGCACCCCATCTCATCTGTCCATTTTTAGGCAACTTGTTGAGGGGGGTGGGCGTACGAAGAACAAGCGCCCACTGGGCCAGGCACCGGACCTCTCCCGTGTTTCTTGTCGTGGCCGGCAGCGCAACCGCCAATTGCTCTCTGCTGCGACGGCCACGGCGTTTTAGGCTGTATGCTGTGCCTGGTGTCTCATTCCAGAGCAGGCCACTTGCGTAGATGGTGCTTGGCTGTGGTCGAAAGCATACAGGATTGACCCCTAACGGGTTATGCATTAAGGTTCACATGATCCAAACCTGTAATTTTTCAGAGTTTGTCCCCTGATATATGATGGCACAACGCACGCCGCATGCAGTGCAAGGCAGATGCGGCAAGTGAGGCGTCTGCGGTACGTGTGGTGGTACTTGGGCCGCCAGTCCAATGGCCTCGGAGAAGCGAGCGTCGTGCCGCCAGCCGCCAGCGCTTGCACGCCTGGTACACAGGTTCTCTGGACTGAAGCAGAGACTTCTGGGCCCGGGACGCGGCCGGGTACCTGCAACATCTGGACGATTCGCAGTGGAGGGGACATGAAATGAGGAAAAACCTGCCTAGTGCGTCCAGGGCACGTTCACGCCTCGAGCACACCCTATAGGCCTTCTGAGGGGGTGCGGGTGCTCCACTGGCCATTAAGCAATGCAGGGGACTGGGGCCCTGGCACAGTCACTTCTGAGCCGAGCTGGTTTATGACACATAGATTGTCCATGGCGACATGATGGCGAAACCAGGGAAAAAGTTAGCTTCCGTATATAAGTTTCCCGCTCCTGGACGAGATGGAGGCTTCTCCGAGATCTGTAAGATTCGCCAATTCACTGTCCATCATCAGAACCCAGGTTTGCTTAAACGACCCCGGATCTGCATACCCCGACCCAAGCAAGCATTGCAAGCCCTCCCGAAGACTATCAGTCTTCCATTGCATCTTCTATACCATTCTATTATACAAACAAGAACACAACTTCACCAGAAGGAACCATCAACCATAACTCCTGCTCATCTGCCTGCTGTGCTATCTACGCCCGCAAGCAGCAGTCGACGTCACTGCCGTCTGATTTCAAAAACACCGGCAATAAGAAACTAGAGGGAAAAGGCCTTCCGCAGCCAATACCATCCATCCATCCATCCATCACCGCGCCCAACATAGTCTGGTGACGATCCCCCGGCTTCGGCATCATCTGAGCGCTGTTCCAACCAGACTTGCTTATTCTCCTCGGCACGCGAGCGCCCTCACTCCTTCGCCTACATTCGGTCACAGGGAGCGAGGGGCCACCCATTAATAATTCTACCATCACATACGCCGCTGGTCGGAGGTGATTTAGCATTTTTTGCTTTTTTTCCCAGCGACTCATCCTCCTGCCGCATGCGACAGGGTCGGATCCTTTGAACATTATTATTTAATTGTCACCCTTCCCCGGATCCTACCCCGCGCCGCCACATACGACACAGACAGCCAAGAGACTCGGCTCGGTCTTCTGCCTCTCTCTAGGACTGCCGTTTGCATTTAAATCGGGTGATTCGTCTTCGCAATTGCCCCTCTTCAAATACAACCATCCCTCCTCTTACACACTCTCACAACAGCCACCCACAATGCCTGGCAGAGTCACAAACTTCCTCCGGACGTCCTCTGGAAACATTGGCCAGATCAAAAAGGTAGCCGCCAGCCGGAGGTCATCGCCCAGCCCCGATATGTCTGACCACGAAGACAACCACCACTCGCACGCTGTCGGTGCCATCAGAATGCCAGATCTCGCCGAGGCCCTCAAGGCCCACCGCCTCTCCCTTCACTTTGGCAAGAAGGAGCACAACTCGGCCGTCGCTCTAGATTATAAGGTGGAGAGCCCTCCTGTCATCCTCCACGGAAACCCAGAAGAGAGCACCGGAGCCCTGTTTTCCGGCCAGATGCAACTCGAGGTCAAGGACGACGTGGTAGATGTCGAGTCCTTCGCTGCTACTCTGAAGATGCATACCACCCACAAGCGACCGTTCCAGAACCACTGCTACGACTGCCAGAACCAGTTCACCGAGCTCAAGGCCTGGAACTTCCTCGCTCACCCAATGACCCTGAAGCGTGGCACCCACTACTTCCCCTTCTCAGTCCTGCTCGAGGGTCACTTGCCCGCCAGCATGAACACCTCAACAACCATCATCGCCTACGAGTTCAAGGCAGAGGCGAAGCTGAACCGCTCATCCAGCTCCCAGCACCCCACAACTGTCAAGTTTGAGCGCGCACTGCACGTCAAGCGTGCCATGGCCGAGTCTGAGATTCCTCACCACTCGGTCCGCCTCTTCCCTCCCACCAACATCAAGAGCAGTGCCCACTACTCTACTGTCATCCATCCTACCGGCAAGAACACAGTCGAGCTCAAGCTTGATGGCCTCATGGACCTCAACGAGCAGACAAAGACCTTGAACCTCTGGAAGCTCAGGAAAGTGACCTGGAAGCTCGAGGAGACTGTTAAGACCATCTCCCCCGCCTGTGACAAGCACCGCGTCAGTGGCGAAGACGAGGCTTCCAAGGGTGCAGCTCGAACAGAGATGCGCGTGTTGGGCGAGAAGCACCTCCACGACGGCTGGAAGTCAGACTACAGCGGCGTTGACGGAACGGTCGACATGGAGTTCGACTACCAAGTCACCCAGCGCCGTTCCAAGGGAGATCTCAAGTACGCCTGCAGCGGAAAGTACCGCGATGGCACCGAGGTCACCCACTCGCTGCTCCTCGAGCTCGTTGTCTCCAAGGAGTACGCACCGGAGGGCAAGCCACACATGGCCGCCCAGACCGGAACCGGCCGCATCCTCCGCATGCACTACGATATCATCATGTCGGACCACCCAGGCCTTGGCATCAGCTGGGATAACGAAGCCCCGCCCGTCTACACTGATGTCCCCGCCAGCCCGCCTGGATACGAGTTCACCGAACACTTGATCGAGTACGACGAACTCGAGCTGCTCGATGCGCAGCGGGGCAGCCAGCCCCCCACGCGGAGGCCCTCAACATCTGACTGATTTCTTACGACACTTGCATTTAATACATGATAATCAATTCCAATGAGGGAATACGGCCATGATGCAGAGAAGAACTCTGAAATGACGAAATGCGAGCCGTTAGAAAGGCTAGCGCACGTGGTTTTTGCATACACACATATACCCAAACAAGCGTTCTGGAATTAGGATTTGGTTTAAGCCTGAACGAACAATCTTCTGTTTTATGATTTCCCTCAAAGGGAAACTTTCTGCCTACATACATTTTATAATGTGTCTTTATTTCCTTTTTTCTTTTTTTTCTGTCTAATCTAGCACCGCCAAGAGAGCGGGCTGAATCATCTAGGATATGACGTCTCCATTGAACATAAAAAGGATCTGACGAACGATATGGACATTTGTTTTTATGTACTTAAAAAGAAGAAAATGAGCTGCACAAAAAAATACAAATCAAAATCAGATGATCAAAACTACTCTCTCACATCGTGAACGACCAGTATCTCGCAGAAAGCACCGGCATCGCCACTTACATGACCTCGTCCCACACATATCTCTTTTAGCAGTTGAAGATGTATGCCCTTGTAGCTGGTGATCTATACCTTAATCTACAGTCCCCAGCTCGAGATGCGACCCAACGTTGATCTTGAGCAGATAAGCAGTTTGCCACAGCTCTGATCGCGCGGATATACCAGAGTAGCTCCCGTCTTCACCGGGGGGACTCATCTCCCTCTGGAAACCACGCGCCCCAAACAAGGGGTGTCGTTAGGGAGACTCTTAGCCTGCCAGAGGCGACGATCAGGAGATAGAGGCGGTTCGGCGCCGCGCGAGCCCAGTACGGACCCCCGAGCGGGAAGATGAGGGTCCCCGATGTCCGAGACGGTGGGGACGAGAGGTCTTGGCTGTGCGAGAGAAGCTGTCCAGGCGGCGACCCACCCGGTGTCCGTGGCGTTTCCACGGTCCTGGGTATGTAAGGGACCGGTGTTGTGGAACGGGGCCGTTGAGGAGGTGGTGGGACAGAGGATCCTTAAGTGGCTGATGGCTTGTATATATAGATATGTTGTGGCACTCAGCCTTCCGCGTTGACCAGATGCAGGAGGCGGGTGTGAGGAGAGGGCGTCAGGATGGGGTGGTACAAAGACCCTGAATTCGCTGATGGGTGTTGTGATATCAATGTTGTGGCACAATGGATCAGAGGTTAGCAAGTTAGGCAGACGCAGGTGAGGGGATTAGACTGAAAACAAACAGACGAGAGGCTACCTGCAGGTTTGTGGTTGATGACATGTGAGTTGACATGTGCCATTTGCGTTCTCTCTCATTTGGGCATGGTTTTTGTTGAAGCCGGTGCTAGATCTCATGAAGTTGCATAGCATGCAGGAGCTTTTAGCTATTAGTTACCAAGCTCGTTCGCGAGTCTATAATATGTATAAAATACCATCCTAAAGCAGCTGAAGAACAGGAGAAACGGTTCACATAGTCTAGGTCCATTGAAGCATGCCGCTACGCATGGAAGACCCTAGATTGGGTTACATCTGGCTTTTAACTTGATGTCTCAACCCAGAAATACCATATAATAGCTAGCCCAATAATAACCTATGCCTGAGCTAGAGAACTGGTCCGGGACCACCTCACACCAACCCAGTAAACGGCCGCGCCAATGAGCCAAACCACAACCAGAATCAAAGCCTGGACGGGCGCAAATGAAGCGCCCCTGACCACCACGAACCCGCTCACAATGGCAAAGATGAAGGGAATGGCAATGAAGGGTTTATAAGGACGCTCAAGACCAGGTTCCCGGTACCGCAGGACGATGGCGCCGACCACAGTGAGGAAGAAGAAGGCATACTCGCCAAGACCGTTAAAGGTGACGAGGTCGCGGAAGTTACCCACTGCAATGTACACGGCGGACACGACGACGGACAGCAAGACGGCGTTGATGGGGGCGTCGTATCCGGACGGGTCCCGGGAGTTGTCGGAGTCTTCGGGCTTCTCGCGGAAGCCGATGCGGCCGACGATGGCGAAGAACCGCGGGAACCAGCCCTTGTTGGCGGCCGAGACGATCATGCGGCCCACGACCAGGGAGTTGCCCAGGATGGAGCCGGCGATGACGAGGCAGATCAACACGGCGGCGATGATGCCGAACTTGACGCCCAGGAGGCGGCTGATGGCGGTCTGTGACGGATTAGCGGTAAGCACAGGAAGTCTTTCATGGGAAGTCATGATTATAAACGTACAACAGCGACGCTGTCACTTGTGGAGACAGTATCCCATGGTAGGAGGATGTAGTATGCAGCATTGGCAACGATGAAGCAGAGGAAGATGGTGGGAATCGCCGTGTTGATTGTGAGAGGAAGCTGCTTTCCCGGGTTCTTGAGTTCAGAGGAGATGTAAATTGCCTACCACCATAACGTTAGCATGCCACACGGAAACGATTGACAGAGCAGGCAGACCTTGTCCCAGCCCGAGTATGCCCAAAGAGCACCATAAACTGCGGCCGAGAAGTGACCGAGCAGCTCCCAAGCATTGAGTTGATCCCAGTCCGTAGTGCTGCCATCAGGATTGAGGGTCTGGCGGTTGCCAAACCAGGGCTTGGTGTACCAGTCCCGGCCACCAATGTCCTCCCGCTCCGGGCGAGCAACCTGGAGGACAATCACGGCCAGACCGGCGGCCACGATCAGGATGATGCTGGAGAATTTGGTTCCCAAGAAGAAGCCGCTGAGCCGAGTGCTGGTCTTGGTGCTGATGCAGTTGGCCAGGCTCACAACGAGCAGGACGAGGATGGCGAGGAGCTTATGGAGCAGCGTGCCAGCTTGGTCGGTGGTGCCCAGAGCCGAATATATGCTCTCTACGAACACAATGCTCAGAATGGCGAGAGTGGCGGGCATCACGGTCAATATCCAAGTCCAGGCCGCCAGGAAGCCGAATATGTCCCCAAAGATGTACTGAAGATAGGGCTGGACGCCGCCTACAGAGACGCGTGTTAGCCTAGCTGTTTACATTTCCATCTGGTGTCTAGTTTTTGGAAATGTAAAAGAATCAATTGGAAATTGCATACCCTCTCCAGGAATTGCTGTACCGAGCTCTGCCAGCGTGCTAGCGCCGGACCAAGCCAGGATCCCGCCGACGAGCCACATAACGAGGGCCATGCCAGGCGAAGGGACATTGGTGTCGATGGCACCGGGAGAGGTGAAGACCCCGCTGCCGATGACGATGCTGACGAGGATGCCAAAGGCCGCTGCTGCGCCGAGGGAGGGCGCGAACGTCCCTCGCTGGTTCACGGGTTCGGCTTGCTGGCCATCATCCCTGGCGCCGAGCAAGGGCTGACGTACGTCTTCCGCTGGAGGCTGCTCTGAGGCCATTGTGGGTGGACACCAGCTGTCGTTCTATATCGGTCCAGGAGTTGGGCAGTAGGCGGATGCTGGCAGGAATGCGTGTGGAGAGGAGGATGAGGAGGAGCAGCGGGAGGTTGGTGGTGGTTATGGAGATGGCGCAATCGGCAATCGTGGGGATGCAATGAGTAACATGCGCTTAGAGTGTCACCATCGTCGGGGGGCAGCCCAGGCTACAGACGGAAATGGAGATGGCAAGCAGCGTGGAGATGTGCGCTGATGGGGATTATCTACAACCCTCTGTTTCAATTGGTATTTTATTGAGGCTTAATTCGTTGCATCCGATGATGAGGTCACGGAAGAAGGCTGATCCCGACTCAAGATGACATCGGAAGTTGCAGGCATCTGACTCACTATCATTTTGGTGCAGTATAGTGGAGTATCAGAGGATGCCTCACCACTTAATTAAGTCTGGTTTTAGGGATGAAAAATAAATATCCCTTCGTATTGAAGAAGCTCTAAAAACAGAGAAGAGTCGCATTGGCACTTCCGACCGTCATCCTCCAGGGCTGACTGCATGCAGGCTTCATGCACATCATGGAACATTGGTAGAAGTGGTGCAACGCGGGCTGAGACAGACATATGGTTGACAGGAAATGGGGCAGATTGAAAGACGGTTATGAGCAAACCATTTTCTACGATGACCAGAAGAATTCAGCAGTATAAATGATGTAAATTAACAATATTTCAATGTATTTTCTGCATTTTCTATCTGGCATTTTGATGGCCTTCGATAATCGGACAATCCTTCAAACAAGCATCACTCTCCAAGCTTGCGCGGCTGAAATTTAGGAACCTGCCCGGTAAGCTACGCCACCCAAAGTTCTTCCTCCAGCAACAACAGCGTCACCTCCTCAATTCCCTTCAGAACCAACCGCATTTCTGCTCTAGATGCCGTCGATTTCTCCCCACCCATCGTCGTCGTACGAGAACAGGCGCAGGATTGCCTTAGCCACCTCCCTGCCGTCATGCTCTAAATCCGCCGTCTCCTTGGCCTGGTCCGCGTGCTGACGATCTGTCAACGACCCGGCTTCCTCCCGCATCTCGATTTGCCTCTTGACCATGTCCTCGTCGAAAGCAAGATGAGCCTGGGTTGTGAACAGCCTCTTCTTGATGTAGAGCCCCTGAACTGCGGTATGCTCGCTGCGCCCCCAGCATTCGACTTTGGTGTCTGGCGGGAGAAGCCCACCGGCCGTCTCAGGGCCCGGCGGCGCTACGACCTGGTCTTGATGCATCTGGTGCAAGTAGACCGTGTCGTCTTTCGTGCGGAATAGTCGCTGGCCCGTAGATGTGAGCGTGATGGCACTATGGCCTAGTTCCCAGTCACCCTTGGGCGAGGGGGCGACCTTGGCCCCTAGGAGGCGCGAGAGGAGCTGGTGTCCAAAGCAGACCCCCGTGAAATAGAAGTTCTCCTTCTTCAACCAAAGTTCTAAGCGGCAACATGGCTTAGTAGTAGTTCGAAAGCAGACGGCGAATCTCATTTGCCTCCGCACTCACCTCGTAGTAGCTCGAGCAAGTCGAGAATCCATTGGTTGTCTCCGTGGGCATCATACATGCTGCCCGTGATTAACAGCCCGTCAAAGCCGTCAAACTCATCACACGCTGGCAGTCGACCGCCTTGCTCGGTGACGACAAAGACTTGATCCGTCTCAACGCCGAGTGGCGGATGGTGTTCCTTGCCCGCCTCCGTGAAGTGGTGGTGCAGGATATCCCCAAACGAACCCTTCTCGGCCTGAGTATCGGGATGCGGCATGTCGGTCTCCAGGACCATGACACGCACCACGGGCGCATCAATTTCGGGTTTGTCGTGCCTCGACATGATGGATGTATAAAAAGTGATCTGAAAATCTAGACCAATTCACAAGCTGCTTAGAATTACGGGTAGAGAGCAACTAAGGTGAAAATCTTAAGATGCCTCGAGGCGAATGCGTGATTCGACCATGGTCGATGGCGGTCTTTATTGACCTTCATTGCGTCTATAGTAGTGCCGTTGACGCGTCCAGCTTGGCAAAATCCACGATTTGCTCATATTTCCCACACCGAACCAAAGTTTTTGGTGTTTTGGGTGATGCCCAGGCTTGTTTACGTAAATTTACATTGGCATTCTCACAATGACGACAATGAGTATCCGCCGACAATGGGGCAGATCGGTTATCCCCCGACTTGTAACCTAGCTCATGCCAGGCGGTTAGCTTGTAGCAGAAGCGGCTGTCTAACCGTCGAGGGCGTCTCGCAGTGTAACTGGCATGAATTCATGTAATTAGCGTATGCAACTGCGGAAGCTGTAGGTTTTGGACTTGTGATTGCCAAGGTGGATTGATCTCACGACCGGGCTGAAAGGCGGCCCCCAACTTGGTCGTAATATCCAATTGTATTTTGGAAGCTGCTCCAGCAGATGGATGACGGCTTGCAGAACTACCTAAGCATTCAATGGAGGGGCCGAGGCAGTCAGTGGGGTGGTTTAGGTGTCTTGCAGCTCTGTTGCGTGTCCCCTGTCGGCGGCCCCGGTCTAAGTGAAACCTCCATGCGCGCTGTGCTCCGGCCGAATGACGCACCTGATTGGCTCAAGGCCTGCGCCGCCGCGGTGGTGGGTGTTTTTCACAGGCTTCCGGCGGCCCAGCTTGTTGGCTCTATTCACAGGCCATGACAATAGGAGGAGCACCTGCTGCTCTATTTTTGTCGCTGGCGGATTCTATTCAACCACAATGGAGGCCATTGAGGAGCACGACGGCCAAGATGGTCTGCCTTCCTGTGCCCGAAATAAATACGCGAGTCCTCCTCTCATTTTTTTACCTTCTACATCTCAATTAGCCTCTTCGTCTAATTCTTTCATATTTGGCGTTGGTTAGCCGATCGAAGACGTCACAGATCACATCAAAGGTTCCTTGTCTTCAACCCCGCTAACCTAAGCCTTGGCCTTATAAAGATCGACAAATCCAGCTCCCATTATTCAAGTGCGGGCCTGGGGAACTCAAAGACACATTCCATAGTCAATCCGGATCTGTCACCTACTATTTGAGACTCATACCTTGTCTCCTCCCAAACAAACAAAGAAAAACCACCACGATCCCCACTATCTCTACACACCGGCCTCGCCATATAAATCAAGATGCGTGCCAGCAACATCTTCCTTCTCGCAGGCCTGCTCACCACGGCCGCCGCCGCGCCGCTTGCTGCCAGTCCTAGCGACATATACAGTCATATATCACCGAGATGGGCTTTAAAAACCATCGAATGCACCGAAGAGGATGCCCAAAGAGCCGGCTGCCTCGGCGGCTGCGACAGATACTACAGCTCCGGCGTGATCTGCAAGCACAGCGAGAGCGCGGAACGGGTCCATCAGGAGCAGATGAGGTCGTCGGCCTCGACCCAGCAGCGAGATGAGGACCGGCCCATGTATTTCTGGGGCACGCCCGGCAAGGGTATCCAGAGCGTCACTCCGGGGCATTGATTTTATGAATTATAACGGATCGGGCCTGGATTGCCTTGAGAATTGGCGTTTGGAACTTGGAAGGAGTTTCTTTATCTACGGTACCTAATGATGGATATACCCTTATGACTATACCCGTGGCTGTAAATGAGCAGATAGATTGGATGAAATACAGAACGATCTTCATGTCTCTTTCAATGACTTTGGCCTCAAGTTCACATAACACTGTTTGTATCCTCGCGAGTGGTAGGCAGGTGTAGATTGCTCGAACACTTCAGCGGATGGAGTATAACGTCTATAACTACCTAGACATCAACATTGGATTAATTTTCAACTTGATTCTAGCAATAAATAACCCGAGCAATCAATTTAGGGTGATTTACTGAGTGATTCTTGCGGTTGCGATTGTCAACCAACGCACACAAGGTTTGATTTCACGATCATCACGAGAAAAGAAATAAAGTTGCCAACTCAAAGCAAGCCTGAATTCTGTAAATATTCGCAGACCCGTTCTATCCCGTAATGTGATGAATGCGAATGAACCAGCTGATCAGTGCATTCTAGAAAATTCTCCCACCACTTCCATTTTTCACAGGCAGGCCGAAAGGTTGCTCTTGATGGAAGTGTGACAACTACTGTTCAAGCCGAGAACCTGCTTTTAGGTCGATGATCAGCCTTGTTTTCGGCGATATCTATTAGTTGTTTAATGTAGTAAAATATATCGCAGCATCGCAATATCATTCTGGGTAGCGTCATTCGGTCGATTGGGAAAAACCGTGGAGGTAAAGTGAAAACGTGAATTAGTCTATCAATATCATCCACGGCTAATTTTTCCACTCAGTATTCGCTGGTTCCAAGCATCCGACTACATCTTCCTTAGGAGAAACTCATCATAACCCAGGAGTGACTTCATCTCCTTTCGTCGTTGTGAACAGCAGGCGGGCGGTGTTACCTGAAACATCAATGCTTCATTCGACCTCCCAAGGCATCCGGCTCTTTGGCATTCCCCCGAGGAGTCAGTTGTTCCAAAATGCTTCTCCAACGGCTCGCTTTTTGTTTTGGGACGTTCATTCTCGCTTCTGAAACCTGAATGGCATCAATATTTTTCGTCGGGTGGTTTCTTGCCCGACTGTCGTTGGCTAGATCCTAGTTTCTCGTCGACAATTTCCTCCCCGGGGTGAATGACTCGACAGTCTTCATCGGCAAATGTCTCGATATCTCCAAAGAAGATATGAAACGTGTAATTGTTGCTGATAGGCATTCTTGGTATTCGGGTGATGTCGAAAATTTCTTAAAATTAGAATAAATGTTTTCTGCCGAGGATTATTAACCCAACTTCAACTTGAGACTAAAACACAGATCGAAATCACCTTTTGGCTGGGTATAATAGAGTGTGCCATTAAAATTGAATGAGAGAGACCATCCCTTGTCTTTTAAACGTAAGTCACATTTTGCCTTGCCGCAAACCGCGTAAATCCCATGATCACGACATACAGCGAGCAACACAACTAACTTTTCTACCATGTCTATAACTAAACTTAGTAGAATAAAATTACACCTGTCTGCAAAAGTACTTAGCCTTATGCTTCTGCTGCACAACTGTTTCACCACACCATGTATTGTATCAAGTCAATTTGAACAAGCGTAGTCTTCCCAACGAAGTTTAACTCTCGTGTTAATTGAAAGCTTGAACGAGGAAGGGAAGCATGAAATCTTTTCAATCAAAAAGTTCAGAGACATGTGCTACCCATCATGAATCACCTAATTGCGAATTTGAGTTAGATGAACTGTGTTTATAGTCAGCCACTTCACCTCTGCGTCTCAGTAGCTTGCCCGATGAAGAGGTGCACTCAAGGAGGTGCAATAGCCACTTCCGGCATCGTGCTATTTTTCTGAATATCCTAATCAGTCTTTTCCAGTCGCTTATTGCCTTAGCTTAGAAGGCCTCGTGGCGATGTTTGTGGGTTCGCGACTGCCGCGGAAAATTGCTCAGGTCTGGTTTGCTCTGCTCCTTAACAAGTCCGCTCACTTCCTTCTGCAACCCATCCCTTCATCATGCGATTCCAATTCCGGCTGAATATACCAAAAGAACGCACGCCAAACTTAATTGAAAGAAATTTTCTTTTATTCTAGAATTGTACAATTACGCTCGCTCTATAGTTCATCCTTGCCCTCGTCCAGCTTGTCGGACCCCCAGTAAAACGTCAAAATGTCAACACCAAGATACTCATCCTTGTAGCTCTTGGTCACCTCACCGTCGGCCGCAGCGCCCGCGCAGACAATCTACCCAAGTGTTAGCACGAATCTGACGCACGAAGAATACTTTACTACTCACAAGAGGGGTCAGGTGCTCCGAGGCTCCTGGAGGGTGCATGACCTGCGAGCCCGGAAACTTCTTCCACTGCCGGATGCCCCCCCAGCGCTTCTCCGACTCAGTGCCCTTGAGCGCCTCGGCCAGCGCGCCGTTCCACGCCTCCGAGATGCCCCTGACCTCGGCCTTCTGCACGGGGTTGGCGTGGCGCATGGCCATCATGACGCGCAGGTTGTGGAACGAGGCGAAGCCGGAGCCGACGATGGCGATGTTCTTCTCGCGCAGCTTCTGCAGGGCGCGGCCCATGCGGAGGTGCGACTCCGGGTCCTCGGTCTCCAGGACGGACATTTGCACGATGGGCACGTCGGCCTGGGGGCGGGCCAGCGTCATTGGGACGAAGACGCCATGGTCGAAGCCGCGGCGGGGGTCGAGGCGGGTGTTGTTGAAGCCCTCAGCTTTTAGGAGATCAGCGATCTCGGCCGCGATGGCGGGGTCGCCCTTGGCGGGGTACTTGAGCTCATACGACTCCGGAGGAAACCCATAGTAGTCGTAGATGAGGTCCGGCTGCGCGCCGCTGGAGATGGACGGCGACTTGGTCTGCCAGTGGGCTGTGACGAGGACGATGGCGCGGGGCCGGTTGGCGGGGGAGTCGAGCGAGAGGAGTTTGGGGATGCGCTTCTCTAGCGAGTCGATGATGGTCCTGTGGTCAGGGTCACCGAGGATGGGGAGGGGTCCTGGCAGGATCCGAGTGTTAGTATGTAATATCAGATACGGGATTGGCCGATGAGGGAAACTCACCTCCTCCATGGGACAGAGCAATGACTGGAGCGAGAGCCATCTTGGAAGCGTTGGTTGTTCGGGAGAGAGCCCAAGCTGAGATACCAGCAACAGCGCCAACAGATGCTAGCAGCCTCATGTCTGCATCAACCTATTTATGTATTGTTTGTCGGCCGGTACTCCTCCAGCCTTAGCTTCCGCACCATCAGTGGTGGTGGGGGGCGGAATATTGCTTATATATTCCACGGCACAACTGCCAGGTTCCAGCCTCCAGGGTTTGCCTATTTGGGAGACCAAACGGTAATTCCAATGGACGGAGAGGAGCCGTCGAGGGGCCGCGGGAAGTTGTCCTCAACCGCTTTAGCTCAGCCGCCTGTCGAGATCCACCGCATTTGTGGCTTTCCAGCTGTGCTCTGTCATAACCGCGCGGCCTCCCACTCGGCTTTGTCATTCGTTTTTGAGGCTGGAAGGGGTATATCCGCCAATGTCCTCTCCCGCCTACTTTATGTTTCCGCAGTTCCGAAGCCATAAGACCGACACAGTCCTGTTCGAGTGGTAAGATGCCCCGTCGCTTAACAATTGCGAAACTGATTTATATTCCATAATACCTAGATCACTTAATTTAAGTTTCGTAGTAGCAGTTGGAATGATCCACTCAAGGAAATGCAATACCTGCCTTTAAAGTGAAGAGAAGTTCCAACCTGGGTGTACAAAATCCTTCTTGTAGCCCTTCAAGTGGGTGAAATAAATAAAAAACGGCACATCGAGATAGTTCAGCATTGAATTTTAACACAATATCACTATCAATAAACTAGTACTGAATACAATATCAAGCTGAATATCGTATAATAGTTTCTTATTCTCTTATTATTGTGTTTAGTTAGAAAACGAGGTCCCTGCCTGACGTGGAAAGAGCTTTGGTGTGCCACGTTTCATTCCACCCATTTACAGTCGCAATATTCATTTTTTCTAGTGTCGCAATGAAGTCCCGTTGGGTCATTCGTTTTCGACCTTTATTCCTTATACGATCCATTCCAGCACCGTTTTAATGTTCATTTCCCAGTTCAATTCATTGGAGAATCGCAATATGATCCCATGCAGTCCCATTCGATTTTCGTATTGATCTCTTGCAAGATTCATCCCGGCATCATATTACTCTTTTCAGGGAATAATCTTCAGGAACCCTCATCAGTATTTTCGGTCACTTGTTCACCCGGCCAAAATACCTTGTCGGGATGTTGATGGGCTCGCGGCGACCGACTGAGCTTGCAACTGCTGAACTTGTCCATGTTGGGTTTGTTCTGCGCCTTGTCGGGCCTGCCCATTGAGTCTTGCAATCCATCCCTTAATCTTGTCATCATTGTAGCATTCGATAGGCTTCTTACCATCCTCAATCCACGTGCAAAGCTCTTTAGAAAGGTGAGCGAAAGCGTGGATCAGTCCCTCGGCATTTCCTGTCTCTAGATGCTTCTTTGTGGCTTCGAGGTGTTCACGGATGGTCGTTTCCATCCCATCAAGTAGTTGTCAACAAATCATCTTTCCCTTGCTTTAATGAGGCTTCCTGTGTGGAGTCGAGGGCAGGATTGGCATTCTTGTTCCCTGTTCCCGACGGGCCCTCACGCTCCGTGCGTGGTCGTTTATTGGGGAAGCCATCCTTTCCCGTCTCGAGCTTTGATAAGGAACCCTTGAAAAGATGTTCCAACATTAGAGTATGGCGAGTCAAAGTTTGATTCTGGCGATCCAGCTTTTCCGTTTGACGAGTCGTTTCTTTACCCTGGTGATCCATCTTTTCGAACAACTTAGTGATCATGTCAACTACTCTCTCGGAGCCTCGTCGATCTGCCAGTGCTTGCCAAAGAGCCTGCTCTCTCTCCTTTAGGGTCTCCAGTGTAGTCCGGACCCGTAAGGCGCTTTTTTAGGCAACAGGGTCCGGGAAGGATGCCCCGCCATACGCCACATCTCTCCTATATAGACGTATTGTCTCGGTGCTTAGGTGAATAAAGATTGGAGATTGGCACAGTTTTCATCTCTCCACCACTAGAGACTGAGGCTATGCATGAGCTCTAGTATTCGTGAAAACCTCTGCGTCATCGAAATTACCCGTGATAAAGCTGGTATATTGACTGAACAGTGAGTTAGAACCGTAACCCTGGTGCATATGAGTTGGCGAGGACATATTACATACCAGTCTAGCAGCCCTGTGTTGATCACACTCGATGTGGCCCCGGCCGTTAGCAGGGCAATAGCATGTACCTAGGTAACAACCCTTGTGGAGAGGTTAAGATTTCTGCCTGACAGTTGGGGGCTTTCCTGCATGTGACTTTTCATGGCGTCGTCGGGGCCTGAATTTGCTTCGCTTGCTTGAGGTTTGGACTGCGTTCTCCACAGGATTATCTGTGTTCTGCATCTTCTCAGTATGCTTATGAGAATCTTCTTGGACTTCTGCTTGTGTTCTGCTTCAGTTGGTTCTGATATCTCAGTCTAATTTGATTCCCGGTTTCCATCTACCGACTTGGATAGATTGTGGGCTATCCCATCAGATAACATGGATGTGGTTGTGTCCTTGCATTCATAAATGGTGTGTCGGTTTGCACCCAAATGGCTGAAATAAAACACGGCCAGAGCTCCTTTCGTGTAAGCTAGAGATCTCATTCTGTGATTAAAGGTACTCCTGTCTGTTTGCTGTATTCAGAGCCAACACGTGCGCGTCGTTGCCCAGGTCCCAGAAGGGGTTGCTCGACCAGTGAGGAGGTATGTCCGCCAATTTTATCTTCTCGTACACGCAGCTAGTGACGTCGACGTACACCATTCCAGCTATCCTCTTGCGAAGATCTGCCACCCCTATGAAGATTGACCAGTCAAGGAGTCTCTTTTTGGTGGAATGGGGCAGTACTTTCAGCTCATGCCCCTCTATCAGGTTGATTTCCGACTTCAATTCCAACTGGTTTTGATTCGGGTCACCAACCTTAGACAGGAAGGGGTACTTGGCCAGGACTTGCTCTCTGGTGATTGTCTTTGATTCTTTATACTTGATCTGCACTAAATAATAATTCATATAATAACAGTATAATAATATATTATTGTATATTATTTAGCTTGATATTGTATCGATAAATGGGTTGATTGTTTTGATATTGTGTCGAAATCTGAGGATGTATGGAGGCTTTGGTGTGCCATTTTTTATTTCAGCCACTTGGCACCTTTCGAGCAGTAGGGACACCGGGGCTTGAACTGGCAATCCTTAGCCACGTGCCCATCCTGATGATATCTCTTGCAAATCTTGATGGAAATTTCCATTGCCGAGTCCCTGGTCTCGCAGTACAGGAACCATTTGTGAAGATGTGGACCAAGACTGGGCAGACTGCCGTGGGGGGAGGCGCCTGGGCTGTCGACGAGATGGACAGCTGGAAGTCTCCAAACATCAGGGGCAGGGACTGAAAACCCCTAAGCAGAGGGGGCTGAGAGGGCTGCGCAGGGGCCGTCGACGGCTGGGAGATGATAGTGGCTGTTGACGATGTGGACGGCTGGGGCGTGGGAGCTGTCGACGACGTGGACGGCTGGAGGTCAGGATCATCACCGCGGCTATTCTAAGGCGCGAGGTGCGAGGCACTGGGCCTTCTTGTGGCCCTGTCTGCCATACTGAAATGGTTGTTAGTTAATATTCAGGTAATGGATATGCTCCAAACTTTGTAGTCCGGTTTACCAGAGAGTTGACATTGTCTCTTCCTTTGAATTAACAATTTCGACAAAAATGTTGTGAGACTTTGATCCTGGAAGGATCTTGTCTTTCCACTGTCTCACCAGGAATTTATTCCTGGTCTCCTTGACGCGCCCTGCCAAGTTCATGTCTGCCGTGTAGAAGTAATTTCTGGCCCAGGTAGCAGTATCACCTCGTGCTCTATGATTATCTTGAAAGATAATTGGAATTTTACCAGTATAGCGCATTCTTTCCATCAACGGGATTACTCGTTGAGGCCCAAAAATAGTATTGTATTTGGGGTCGTCATTTACTGGTGCGATTGGTTTGCATTGCCTGGTGTCACCGATGAAGCAGACGACCGCATGAGGACATTTCGCTAGGGGGATGGCGGTTTCGGTTTCTGGTGTTTTGGCTGCTTCGTCGAAAATGATGAAGTCGACTTGATACATGTGAGCTGTAGCGGCATCCGTTGGAAAATGGTTTACCACCATCGGAGTTGCTGTAATTGCTTGGCCTCTGCACAGACTGCTAGCATCAAATCTTGTGTTGTATTCTTGTGCTGCTTATTGTGTTGTTTGTTGTGCTGCTTATTGTGTTGTTTATTGTGTTGTGCAATGTACTGTTCAATGTGCTGTTCAAGATTTGCCTTGAATCGAGTCCCGACATGCGTACGATCCGAAACCAACTGGATATACGCTTCTTTTAGCTCTGGATATCTCTCCATAGGTAAGCTCGATAGAGTTGTTGGTAATAGAGTTAGCGACGAGCCAAGGTCTTTCCTCATTGTCTCTTTGCTTGGTGGTTGAAATGCCCGGTCAGAGCTGCGTCAGACTTTCCAGGGTCTTTGTCAAGGACAAGTCTATCGCTTTGGGGCCCATTTAGGAGTGCTTTCTCCTCAGCACCCTATACTAAAGCTCCGACGACTCCATGGCCAGCTGTAACGAATCTTTCTGTGGCGTCTTTGACTAGAGAAATTGGGGTGCAAGTCAGACTGATTGATGACGAGTGTCTGAAGTTGCCAGCGAATTGAATACTTGGCCACCCCAGGTCGACTTTCCCGATCCTGGCCCACCAAACACAATGATAATGCCAGGGAAGTGAAGAAAGATGAGGAAATTTTTCAGGGAGAGAGGAGGAGAGAGGAGGAGAGAAATAGTGGGAGCGAGAGCGAGAGGTGGGTGCGTTAGTACGCGTGTAGTGAGGTGAGGACAAGGTGGGATGGAGGTTGTGAGCATGAACGGGTGCCAGTAGCTGGTAGCGGCTCACATAGCGGGTAGGGCGTGAATTGATCTGCCTAGGCGTCAATCGAATCAGACTAAGGTTGCAAGTTTGTTGAATGAATTTTAGTGATTCCCATACGACAGAGGCCGATATCGTATGGGTTGGAGTAGATCTATTACATATGTCTTCCAGCTTTGCCAAATGATGCTTATTTTTCTACCTCTTTCGTTGAATGGTTTTATCTCAACCATGTTCGCAAAATCTAAGGTGTGACTGACAATGTTGCAAAAAATTTACTACAAGACCCTGAAGGTGCATTGCATGGCCTTGCTTTTACAGCAGGATTCATCCATAGCATATTCCAAAGCATAGATTTGACTGAGCAACGTCGACCTTCCCCAGACGTAGTTCGAGCCATAGTATATTTACCAATACATTACGTATTAGTATATTCCTTGGAGACTTGCTGCTTCAAGACCCGATGGTGTAAGCAGCCTTAGTAAGGAAGTTTGTTCAGCCAGGCTGAGTTGTCGTTGCATTCAAATCATTTTTTGACTGCGAAACCGTGGGTTCATAAACCTGCACAGCAATTTTAACTCGCCCTGAAGGGCGGGAGACGCGACAATATAAAACTACCTACTGATGTCAGCACGCTGCATAGCAAAACTTGATCGGAAGGAGTTGTGCAGTATAGGGTGTGGGATTGATCCATGTAGTTTTGGGCTTTCGAAATAGATACCTAGACAGGAAATATCGGCTCACACTGAGGCATGGCATCTCGTACTATTGGCTTGCTTGGGATTTGTCTCGTTTGTATTGCCCTTTCTAGCCTTCGTGCAACCTTATTCGCAAGAGGGACAATCTTCGGTTGGGTGGGAGAAGAGTTTGGCACTCATCCTCACGGATACCTTGAATGTCCATTTCCTGCATGCCACCATCCCAAGAAGAGGGGTTGTCTCTGTGGAAGCTCTATTCACCAATCTCATGGTCGCATAATGTGATGAAGCAACTTTGACATCACTGATTCGCGAGCTGCTCAGGTGATTGATGTTACCTTGCATGTTGTACACACCTATCCAGCCCGAAGTGTAGGTTTCATTACTACCCAACCTCAAACGCGGCCCCGCGATTTCCCGTTGTTGTACACACTTTGGGAGTACCAGCACTTCCGCCCTTTATGTCTCTGTCCCTCGCATCTCCCGCTTGCCCACTTTCCCCAGCCATCATCTCAATACTGGACTCCAGCCATTCATCGAACCGACATCTCCGCCATGGCGGTGACTATCAGGCCAGATCAGCAGGACGCCCTTTTACGCGTCGCTACATATCATCGCCGAGACTTTGATCTCAGCGTCATCTGTTCAGAATCACAAAAGCTTTTTGCGGTTCAACCCTTCATCTCTGAGCCGTTTTCGACCACCGCAAGTGCATCCCTCGGGGTGTTCAGGCACCTCCCAAATGAAGTCCTCGTGGAGATGTGCTCCCATCTAGATCTCCGATCCGTCTTCAAGCTCCGCCAAGTCAACCGGCTGGCCCGTGAAATTGTATCAGCATCGCCGGCATATCGGGACCTTTCAAAACACTGCTTACAGGCCTTGCGTGGAGCCCTACGAACGGGGATGGCCCGCTGGTTGCCGGTGGCCGAGCTCCATCGCCTGCTCTACACGTCCGAGTGCGGTCGGTGCGGCGACTATGGGCCGCTCCTGTTCCTGCCGCTGATCGAGAGGTGCTGTTTTCGCTGTCTGCTATTGGACTGGGAGTATCGTCTTATCTTTCTCGATGAACTATCCGAAGCAACCAATGTTTCCGAAAGCCGACTGCGCGAACTAGTGCCAGTCCTCCGTACCCTTACGGGCAGCTATTTCCTGTTGTGGGGTGAGCAGACGGAGAGGCATGAGTTGGTTCCTTACAGAACTATCCTGGAATGTTCACCACCTCTTGATATCCAGGACCTCCCAGACTTCATCCCGGAACCCGAGGATGAAGATGCCATCCTTCGCTGTACGGCAGCAACACCTTTTCCGTACTTGGACAAACCCGGCTCCGATATCGATCACGGTGTGAGCTGCACAGGTTGCGCGCTCGCACAGCTGGATAACCGCGAGCTACCCAAAAGGAATCAGTCTAGCAACCCCAGGGAGATGGCATATTCAAGAGAGGGGTTCTTGGTTCATTTTCAGTCGTGTGAAGAAGCCCAGAAAATTTGGCAAGAAAGCCATGAGGGAACTGCTCCTGTAAAGGATCCCGGTCTTCTTGACTACATATGCACAAACTACTCGCCCGATCACTATAAATGAATGCCCTCTTCATTCTTCTTTCGCCCTTTCCTTGGTTTGGTTTCGATGTGAACTTCATAATTACGGAGGATCGGGATTTGCAACATTTGAAGATGGCAGCGGATGCAGATTAAGGGAGGGGATCATGGTTCGCAGAGTCATCTATAATCAAAACCCTTGGGCAAAACCTCTCCGCTCATTCTTGACTAGGTAACTGCTGCAAGTCCTGAGAGTTGAAGGCAGCGCTTCCGTAGTGATGCGAGAGCGGGGTCTTCAAGATGGATGTTCTGCCAATTGACCCCGCCCAGTGTCTGACAGTCAAAACAATGATGTCAAACTGAGACGTCAAACTGAGACGATGGGCTATCATGAACGGATTGGGTAAATAACTTGCTGTTGACAGCTGGGAGTCGGATTCCCGAACTCTAGATGCAATACAGGGCTATCGGATCAAATCTCTTTTTTACTAGGCTGGTCAACCCAAGCTGCTTCGTGAGGAAGGTCCAATCTCAATTGCTGATGGGCCTGGTCTTGTCACGGTAAGTGGCGGCAAAGTTGACCGCTTCCAGTCAGGAATGCTTACTTACTTGGTGCTCGGAATGATGGTAAGCAGTAATTAAAGAGGCTTGTCCGTGGGCCTCAGCATCAGCCCGGATTGCGGATTCCATCACTAAACGCGGCCCGCGCTTCAGTGGCGCTTTCTTTCCGTTGTACAATCAAGAAATTGCGGAACTATGCGCTTGCCGGTTGCTGCTTCCTCTACGGCTTGTTGCCTCGTATTCTTTCATTTGGGTGGCGCCTGATACATGATCGGCAATGGATTTGCGATGATGGCGATGGTGCGCCCCTGTCACGATGCTACTGGTCAGCATGAGTCGTTATATTTAAACATGTAACGCTCACTATTGCATATGGCGTCGCTAGTCTCCTTTATTTGCTTAGTACCCATGCACCATCGCCAACGGTCACTTCCCCTGTGCTTGCTTCGTTTGGGATTGGATTATTATCACTTTTCTTCGTATTCTACACATACATTAGCTCCGACCATGCCTTGACCGATACCATCTCGACCACCCGCACCCCGAACTCTTCACAATGGCTGAAGAGGACGACACCACCCGGCGGTCCTCCGAAATATCCCCACGCCAAACCTCGGTCGCAAGCACACCAGCTGGGCTCAACCAGCCTGTGACCAGAGAGGCTCTCGGTCTCAAGGTCGACACCCGAAGCGTCTCTCTCCCCGAGCCCAAGCCCGAGGCGACTGGGCGGACAACCACTTTCGCGGCGCGCTCCGACCGCCATGCCGGGAACACGAGCCCCGAGGCGCTGCGACGCCGGTTCACAAACGCAATCAACCGCTCGGCGACGTTTCGGACCGTCGAGGACCTGGACGACTTCGATGACCCGTTCAGCCCCCGGCCGGGCTGGCAGCCTGGCTCCGAGCCCGGCTACGACCCTCTGCTCCCAGATGGAGGGCACGCGTCCATGGAGTTCATGAACGCGCCGTGCCAGATCACCGTTGTCGACTTTTCGCACAACCGCATCGAGAAGCGCCACTACGAGAACCAGGGCTTCATCGACGCCCTCGAGCGGCCGCAGGAGCCTTGGGCGCAGTGTCGGTGGATCAATGTGAATGGTCTCAGCTGGGATGTCCTCCAGGCTGTCGGTTCCAAGAAGGGGCTGCATAAACTGGCATTGGAGGACGTCATGAATCTTCGGAACAGAACAAAGGCGGATTGGTATGCGATTCACAATCAGAGACAGTCAAGCTTGAGGTCTTGCGCTAACATGCCACAGGTATTCCACCCATGCGTATATCAATCTCACCCTCCAGAAGCTGGTTCATCTAGTAGAAGACGACGAAGCCTCTTCGAGCACGGGAAGTACTATATCACGAAAGTCTATCGTGGCTGGTTTCCGTCGGTCAGTCAAAGAGCTGTGGAGAAGCAAGAAAGCAGAGTACCAGGAATCTAGGAATGACTCCAAGCTCCAAAATCAAGACCCAGAGAAGGAATCGACGCAGAAATACTCTCAGGGACCTGGGCTTCCTGAGACTACCATGTTGCGGACGGTTCAGAGATACCATGCCTCAAGCAATGAGGCTCGTATCGATTTCATGGAGCGCCACTCTTCTCTAGTGCCTTACAAGATGGCCGTCTCCGCTGAGCAGGTCTCTATCTTCCTTACTTCTGACAATACTGTCATATCCTTCTTTGAAGTCTCGGCAGGCGACATCGAGCGACCCATCATCACCCGCCTTAGCACAGCGGGCACTATCCTTCGCGAGTGTTGTGACGCCTCTCTACTTGTCCAAGCCATCATTGATGCCATCATCGATCTTGCGATGCCCATCACAACGATCTATGCGGATATCATTGGCGACCTGGAACTTGATGTCCTGACCGCACCGCACATGGATCAGAGTATAAGTCTCTACATTGTCATCAGTGAGATCAACAAGATGCTCACGTTTCTGAACCCCATAGACAACCTAGTCAATGTTCTGCGTGACCACAAGACGACTCTGACGCAGGAGCAGGCCGTGGCCGAGCTTCGCAACCCCAAGAGTGGAGTTATCATTTCGCCCATGACACACACATACTTTGGCGATGTGCTGGATCATTGTATCATGATCACTGAGAACCTGCAGCAGTCGAAGCGAGCATCGGACAATCTCATCGATCTCATTTTCAACACAATCTCATCACACCAAAACGAATCGATGAAGCAGCTGACGGCTGTGACCATCATCTTCCTCCCCCTGACCTTCATCACTGGTTTCTTTGGGCAGAACTTTGATGGCGGATTCCCGGAAATTCACAGGGATATCTCTTACTTGTAAGTCAAAGGACCAAGGAAGCCCCTACTTCATTCAGTTTCTCCCCTCCTAGGTTCAAGTCTCAGTAACTAACATTTATTCACAGCTGGATGTGTGCCGTTCCCACAGCCTTTGCTACGATTCTGATTTTGATGAGGAACATGATCCATTCATGGTTCCGTCGCATGGTCCAGAGGAAACAGGTTCTATCTACGCGGCGAAGGAAGAAGCGCAGAAAGTCGTTCGTTGGCCGGACGTGAAGTGTCTGCGATTCTGAGTTCTACACCGGTATGGATAGGTTTGGGCTTCATTTTTGGTGACGCGGGTTTGGGTGCTACTGCGATATGCGCTTGCCTGGCGAGGTTTTTGGTCTAGCGTCTTGTATAAAAGTGAGCATGGCATAGGAAAAATACCCATATGAGAAAGCTTTACCACTGCAGAAACATCGTTTTTCTTTCATCATCATTCTTTTTTCTATTCCATCTTTTTGTCCTTGGAGTCATCTTAGTCTCATCTTCTAGGAGCGTTCAACGGCTGCTACCCTCCTAGGGCAAGGGTACATATCGGATGAACAGTCGGTGCCCACCTACCGTTCTGGTTTTAAGCCGAACTTTCTAGCTATCACTTAGCCGCTATCTATCCAATGGTGATTGGCCAAAGAAGAAAGCCGTTGACTGCTTCCCCGCTCCGAGAATGAATCTCTAGACTTACCGCTAGGGATGGTGCACCTTCGGAGCGGGGTCGACCGATTCTCGGAGACGGCAGCTCGTGATGCTTTCCAGAAGTGAGTAAGTTGGAGCCGATTGATAAGCGCAGGTCCCCAATGGCGCCCCCTCGGCATGTGTTGAAGCACCCACTCTAGGTGCTCGCATGCGCCTTGCATATGCTAGCCGCTGGTACCACATCGCAGCCCAACCCACCGCCGACTCTGGGGTTTGACGAACCAGAGGGATTTACTTAAACACTTCGGACCTGCTTGATCTAGCATCCGGACAAGCTTAGAGGGGGCCTTCTCCACCTTGGAGTATTTGAATCAGTGTCCTTCTCACGCCATATTCACATTCGTTCAACATCTTCCGTTTTCTCTTTGTGACTTCCCGTCTGCTCAACCCCGCCTGCTGGAATTGCAGTATCCATACAGTCTAAATAATCTGTTGTTGAGAACCAGGATCGACCGACCATGGCTGAGTCTAACCATCTCGTCCTGCGAAATGGCAGAATCTATCAACACCCCGAGGATAACTTCAGTGGAAGCGGGCCTTCATTCGCAAGTGCGATGATCGTCAAGGACGGCATCATCCAGTACGTCGGCTCAGACACGGACGAGCAGGTGGTGACCGCCACCACTGAGGGGGCCCAGATCAAGGACCTCGACAACCAGCATGTCCTACCCGGGTTCATCGACGGCCACCTGCATCTGCTGCTCCTCGGGCAGTCTCTGACCAAGGTCGCCCTGGACGGCTGCAAGGACCTGGAGGAGATCCGCTCGAGGGTGAAGAAGGCCGCCGAGGAAAACCCGCACGCCACACGGATCTTTGGCAAGGGCTGGATGGTCTCCATGACGCCGGAGGGCGTTGATGCCAGCGTCCTTGACGATCTGGACCCCAGGCCCATCTTCATCGACAGCAAGGACTTGCACTCGACGTGGTGTAACAGTGCCGGACTGGCTGAGGTCTGCAAGGTCATGGGCATCGCGCCCGATGGCTCGTCCCCGGACCCCCCTGGTGGGACGATCCAGCGTGATGCGGATGGCAAGCCTAACGGTGTATTTAACGAGAGTGGTGTGTTTGAAATCATCTGGCCGTTCGTGGCCAAGGTTGCGTCCATGGAGGAGAAGAAGGCATCTATCCGGGCTGCCATCACGGCCTACAATTCCGTCGGATACACTGGCATGATCGATATGGCCATGGACGACACCATCTGGGAGCCTCTTATTGAGTTGCGAAACCAGGAAGGCCTTGGGGCCATGCGAGTTGCTGCTTATTGGCTGATGAAGCCCATTAAGAAGGGCGAGACTGTGGAGGCTGCGCTGGCTCAAGTCGATCGCGCAGCCGACATGGCAAAGAAGTACAGAGACCCTGACTGCAGAATTGTTGGCATCAAGGTCATCTGTGATGGAATCATCGATACCTGCACCGCCTCGCTGACAGAACCCTACTCAACAGGCGTCAACGACGACATGTTCTGGGACGAGGATGTCCTCAACGCTGTTGTTGCGAGGGCACACACCGCCGGCCTCCAGGTCGCCCTCCACGCCATCGGCGACCGCACCGTGAACACGACCATCAACGCAATCGAGAAGAACACGGACAAGTCCCGCCGGCCACGCATCGAGCACATCGAGATCTCGTCGGCCGAGGACGCCAAGCGCCTGGGCAAGATCGGCATCACGGCCTCCATCCAGCCCGTACACTCCGACCCGGCCATCCTCCGAGCGTGGCCCCGACTGATTGGCGAGACCCGGTGCAAGCGCGCCTTCGCCTACCGCGAGTTTGTCGACAACGGTGCGACATTGGCACTTGGCTCCGACTCCCCCACGGCGCCTCACGTCCCCCTCCCGAATCTCTACGTTGCTACGACCAGGCGATCGTACCGCGAGCCCGAGCTCGAGACGACAGTAAACCCTGAATTTGCACTCACCGTGTGCCAGTCCATTGCAGGAGCCACCCACGGCTCTGCCTACTCGTGCTTTGCGGATGCTTGGACAGGGAGCTTGAAGCCGGGACTGAAGGCGGACTTCGTAGTGGCCCAGGTGGAATTGACGCCCGAGAAGCTGATCAAGGGTGTTGTCAAGGAGACTTGGTTCGAGGGAAAGAAGGCGTACTCATCCAGTGTTTAGCTGGCATCTTGTTACTTATGAGGGAATGGTTTCGGGTGGTATTAGCATTTACGGGCGTTGACTAGGCGGTTGATGAGATTTTGTCGCAATGGTGGGATTAAGGATCTGTATAGACGAGAGCAAAATGCAAAGGTCCCCATTATTCCAATACTTCGAGATATTATGATTCTTGCCATCCAATCTTTATCGACCAAGTCACACTGAACTGGTGTTGAAGGGAGTGAGTTGGTGCTGACCTAAGCTTCTGCCTAGAAACCGCCTGAAATGAGAGCTTGGATCTAATCATCGCCTGTGGGGCTCGGCGCATCTTCACGGTTCAGCCATCAGATCATGCACGGTTTTGTAGGCAGCAGGCACCAGCTGGCTCATTTCTATTAATGTTTATTCTCTCATAAACTTCAAAGGCTCATCGTTTCATTAAATACATTCATTAATTGACGCCATCTTCTCACCTCGTCTAATACCCTGCATACAATCCCAAAATCTGACATTTCCGAGAACAACAAGGCCACCTCTGACGTGACTGGTCATATTCGCCATGGTAAAGTCAGAGCCCATGTCGGCCGACGCCGAGCGCGAAGATGAGATCCAGTATGGCGCATCAGAGGTAGCGAAAGACGAAATCTCAGAAACGTACGTGCTGCGCTTCATTCACGTCAAGCCTCAATTAGCCTCCCAAATTAACACCACTCAGGTACCCCAATCGCCCCAGGAATCACTCCAAGACGTTCGCATTCTCTACTCTGTTTAGGGAACTCTTCAACCCTCTTAATGAGAACAAGAAGCAGGGCGCGGGCGGCGCACGGAGGCGAGGGCCCCAAGCTGCGAACAAGCCATCTCCGCATGAGCAGCGTCGCCACATCATCGACAGGTTCATCGCGCGGTGGAAAAAGGAAGTCGGGAATGACTTCTACCCGGCTCTGCGCCTCATTCTCCCCGACAAGGATCGTGACCGGGGCGTCTACGGTCTGAAGGAGAATGCGATTGGGAAGCTGCTGGTGAAACTGATGAAGATTGACAAGAATTCAGAGGATGGGTACAACCTCCTGCACTGGAAGCTCCCCGGGCACACGATGGCTGCCCGTCTCGCGGGCGACTTTGCCGGGCGCTGTTTCGAGGTGATATCGAAGCGGCCCATGAGAACTGAGGTTGGCGACATGACCATCGCCGAGGTCAATGAGCAGCTCGACAATCTGGCTGCGTCGGCAGGCGAGTCGGAGAATCTGCGCGTGTTCGAGGTCTTCTACAATCGCATGAACGCCGAGGAGCTCCTGTGGCTCATCCGGATCATACTCAAGCAGATGAAGGTGGGCGCGACGGAGAGGACCATTCTCGATCTGTGGCACCCAGATGGCGAGGCTCTGTTTAGCGTGACTTCAAGCTTGAGGCGTGTATGCTGGGAGTTATACGATTCTTCAATCAGGTTGGAGCAGGAAGAAACCGGCATTGCCATCATGCAGTGTTTCCAGCCCCAATTGGCGCAGTTTCAGATGCCGGCATCCTTCCAGAGGATGATTGAGCTCCTCGGACCGACGGAAGAGGACCCCGAATTCTGGATCGAGGAGAAGCTCGACGGTGAGCGCATGCAGATGCACATGACTGCCGACCCATCGCATCCCGGGGGCCGCAAGTTTCTCTTCTGGTCCAGAAAGGCAAAGGACTACACATACCTCTACGGAAACGGACTGCAGGACGAGAATTCGGCCTTGACGCGGCATTTGAAGAAGAGTTTCGCCTCGAATGTGAGAAACCTCATTCTTGACGGGGAGATGATTACATGGGACATGGACACAGACAAGATTGTCCCATTCGGTACGTTGAAGACGGCCGCACTCTTGGAACAGCAGAACAAGTCCAACTCGGATTCGACTGGTCATCGCCCAGTTTTCCGGGTATTTGACATCCTGTATCTCAATGACAAACAGCTCACCCAATACACGCTCCGAGATCGCCACAAGGCGCTGGAGAAGGCAGTCAAGCCCGTCTATAGACGCCTGGAGGTCCACCCATACACCGTAGCAACGGGCGGCGATGCAATCGAGCCTCTTCTTCGCGAAGTCGTCGCCAACGCCTCCGAGGGTCTGGTCCTCAAGAACCCGAGGTCAATGTACCGCCTGAACAGCCGAAACGACGACTGGCTCAAGGTGAAGCCCGAGTACATGTCCGAGTTTGGAGAGTCGCTGGACTGCGTTGTCATTGGCGCATACTACGGCTCGGGGAAGCGAGGTGGCACCCTCTCATCCTTCCTCTGCGGGCTCAGGGTCACGAAGAACCACATCCAGGCTGGCTCCAACCCTGAAAAGTGCTTCAGCTTCTTCAAGGTCGGCGGTGGTTTCCGTGCAGAGGACTACGCTGAGATCAAGCACCGGACAGAGGGCAAATGGATCCCTTGGGACCCGAAGAACCCCCCGACAGAGTATG